CACCAGTGCAAGGTTCTTCTCTTCAGTTTTCTCTTCGGTCCATCTACAACGCCCTCTGTTGCCCCTGCATCCTCTTGTCGGTCTTCGTCTTTTCACATCCCGATCAGACCTGCTGGTTTGGGCGCTTCGATCCTGAACTTTTCCTCTCATGCCACCACTTGTTGCGGTCGATTAGCAGCCTACTCTCGCGCCCTCAACCATCCGATCACGTTGTCCCTCGACTCGTTCGTGCGCGTCCCATGCCCATGACCACCTGTCTTTCCGCTTCCTGTTCTCCTCATCCAAGATTTGTGTGAAACTTGAATTGTCTTCGGATGTATATTCGCCTGGAAATCGTCTAAGCTTAGGTTGTCGATATGAATCGAGCCCGTTTGGCGGGTGGCTCCCCGCCACGAGGTGTCCGTGGTGGGGTTTCGGAAGGACCCGCACCGTATGGAGTGCGACCGGGAGTTTGAGGAGGAAAGCGCGGGGTTTGGCTGACTTGTTCAAGACGGCGGACGGAGGCGCTAATTAGGTGAGGATCCGGGTGTCTCGAGGCATCGAGATAGCCGTTGGTAGCATCCAGGTGCACTAGAGAGGGAAAGAAATCTCGAGCAATTATCTTGGATAGTGCCTCAGTGTATTCATCCTCCTCGAGGACGACCTAAGAATGGAAGAGTGAGCGCGTGTGGAATGGCGTATCGAATCCCAGTCACTTGTCTGGTTCAAGGAGCGGCTAGGTTGTTCATCGGGTAAAGACATGGGCAAGAGTAGTGGTCAAGTCAAGTGATCTCACGTGTTCTTGCGTCCAACAAGTTTTAAGTAGATAAGTAGATCCACATCGAAAATCGTAGAAAATATACGTCGTGCTACAGCATAATTATCGTAGTACAATACCATTACATCGCAGTGCTCCCGGACGAGGGTCGGGGCCCGTCATCTCCTCTGCTTCTCCGTCCACTGCTGGGTCTTCCAATTCTGCTTTGTCCTAACGCAGCGGAGGAGATCGACTTGGCCGGTCGGATTGTGACGTTCGCGTGACCGGGCAACTGTGGTAAAGTCTTGTCGGACTGTTCGGAATTCGGTCGTACAGACGGAGGCATTGTCATCGGCCGCCCTTTGGGCAACGGAGGCGGAGGCATTGCTGCCGTACTGGCGCCCAAGGAAGAGCGCTTTGCATAGGGTGTAGTTGATGCTGACCCCGTCGGTCGCTTCAGTCCAGTCAACCCGGCTGTGGTCTGATGCGCATACAAGCCAGCAGTTGGAACAGGTAGGAAGGTCGGCGTGGACGGCCGAGAAGAAGAAGACGAGGAGGACGGGATAGAGATGGTCGCAGAGCCACTGGACAATCGCGATGGGGACGCCGCAAACCACTTGTGGGCAGCATGCTCTGATTCAATGGATTAGTCGGACTCATCGGCTTCGGAGTACCGGTGGCCCAGACGTCGACGCAGCGGGCCGATATGGGATGGGATCGAGAGGACTCGACGGCCTTCGCCTTTCTCCGGGTTTCGGTTTGGGCGGTGAAGGCGAGTCTTCCATTATCATACCCACCCCGCTGATTCGCGACCCTTCTTGATCTTGTCCGAATCACTGTCACTGGTAGTTTCGGTGGATCGCCACTTCTCCTGGAAGTGGACGTCAGGCTCTCCCAGCTGGTTCGCACGGATGTCTTGCTGGACGTCGACCCGACAGTGCTGTTGGTAGCAGTTGATGTCCCGGACGCTGGGGATGGCCTGGTGATGCTCCCCATTCGCAATCTTGGTACCCGAGTATGAATCTTCTGCTCCAGGTTACGGACCCGGGCACGCATTTCAGATACCATCTGAACCCCTTTGCTCTTGGAAGTGGTGCTCGAAGTCGAATTCGTGCTCACAGCGGACGGGTTGCGAGCAGTGGATGGTCGGAACGAAGGACTGGCTCGAGGACTGGAGCTGTAAAGTGAAGGTAGAGCTGTGGAACGAGCGATCCCAGAGCTACTCGGTGGAGTGGCAATGTGAGATCTGAACGGTACGGCGCCGGATCGACCGACGAAAGCAGAGTGCACTTTGGCTTTAGGAGTGGCCTCAACGGCCGAACCACCTGAAGCAGAAGGGAGGCTGTCAGATGAGCTTGGAGTAAGATCTTCGAGTTGAAGATCGTCAGGCGCCTCGGTTTTCAGCAGGTCGTCTTCTGATTGTTGCGTAGCTTGTGAGAAGCGGCTGGAAGGCGCGATAGACCCGAAGTCTCGTCTGGTTTGCGCTGCTAGCTGATCCTTCAATATCGATATCTCAACGTTGGCATCTGAGCGGATAAGTAAGGATCAGACCGCCGAAACCATATGGACCCACCTCTGAGCTCGTCTTTCAATCGCTGTGTTTCCTCCTCAAGATTGGCCTTGTCGATTATCTCTTGCTCGAGTATGATCTTCTCTTCCAAAGCCTTGGAGTACTTCGCTTCGATGTCTGCCAAGCTGGAGGAAACTGCACGCTCATTTCGCTCCAGGTCATCGTTGCCCATTTCCAGTTCGCGCAGTTGCACTTTAATCTGCTGGTGCTCCTGCCGCAGCTTATCCAGCTCCCGCTGGAGAGTCGTAGTTGCGGTATTGTGGGTGGTTTGCAAAGTCATAAATTTGGACTGCGTGCCTATTCGATAGCTAGTTGGGTTAAAGTTGATGGCGGCTCACCTTCCAATCGTCCCGCTCTGTCTCCGCACGGGCCACTTTGACCTTGAGATCCTGCTGAGCTTTCTCTGTCCTTTGGAGTTCTGCCTCCAACTCTGCTTCAAGCTCTCTGCTCGCTACCTGGAACTCGTCGAGCTCTGCTCGAGTTTCCGCGAGCATGTCAGCAACCTAGAAAGAAAGATGAGAAATCGAGCGTGAACGGTCGATCATGACAGTAACCTCATTGTACTTGTCCCGCCAGTCGTTCGATGAGGAGTAACTAGGAAGAATGGTGAGGTTTGTGGAGAGCGGCCTTGCTGGTATTCAGTCTCACCTGAGATGGTTGTCGTCTAGAGACATGAGCCGTTCCCTCCGAAGGGGATCTGAAGGTGAGAGAACGGCGGTCATTAATTGAGCTACCTCGGTTGTCGAAGTCAAGTTCGGTCACGCCCAGATGTATTTGTCTTTGTTTCAACTTGCGCGCAATTCCTCTTGTTTTCTTGAGGGTTGTCTGCACAGATTGCTCATATTCATTCAGGTTTGGCACACTTTCTCTTTTCTAATTTTCCTGTCTCCGGATCTCGCATCTCCTTCCATGACACCGGAGTCATCGTCTTCCCACCCTCGGATACCGCAAATACCACTCCGAGATCGTTTCTGGCTGTTGTAATGAAGTAGCTTCTCGCGTCTCCCAAGGATATCTAGGCAAACGGTGTTCATTTCATGAATGCAAACTACGGCAGGATGGGGCCATACCACGATTCCCCTGACAACATCGCCTCCTCGGAAACAATCTGCGATCTTCACTCTGTCCTTTTCAGTAGCACGCACATCCTGTTCAGTGTGAGCTGAGAGTCTACTCCAAACGTCTCCTCTACTCGCCTGGGTGCGAATGACCCCAGTAAACTCCTCTCCCGCAGGCAACGGCACACCGTCCACAACGGTGATTGCCAGCATGGCCTGCAATGGCGACAGGCGTGTAATCGTCCCTAGAACAACTGAGTTGATTGCAGGCGGCCTCGGTTGTGTTTTGGAGATAGATAATGTCTAGGATACATGGGTTCATTTTTGCCTCGCAAATGTGACTTCCACCGACCGCTCCATCGTGCTGAGGCACACCAACCAAACTCGCCCGTATCTCAGTGTCTCTCGTGTAGATTCCGGTCCCAAGCTGAGGAACTGGCGCATTGTGCGCGAGGACAATAGGCTGCCCAGGCAGCACGACACTGAGACTGGCAGTGGTCATTTAGGAAAATTGATGTGGTGATGGGCCCCCAAAAAGTTGCTTCGATCCTTGCCACCTACTTGTTCGATTCCGTCCCGACCCGACGTTGCCTTTTTCCACCATGACCTCCCTCGCTCGCGTGTTCGCCCGCCGTTCGTTACTCTGTTACACTCGATAGCTAAGGGCAGTAATCAATTTGATTTAGGTCTCCATGCATCTGCACGGCGCAGCGCGCTCTCGCAGTTCAACATGCCTGCCATGAGTCCAACCATGACCGAGGGCGGCATCGCTTCCTGGAAGAAGAAGGAGGGCGAGAAGTTCTCGACGGGGGATGTCTTGCTGGAGATAGTGAGTATACGTCAGTCACTGTTCAAATACTACAGGTCTAACCCAGCGCTATGTAGGAAACCGACAAGGCTACGATTGATGTCGAGGCGACTGAGGATGGTGTTATGGCTAAGATCATCGTCCGTGCATTTGCATCGTCGGCTCGTATATATCTGACGCCATGTTTAGGCTCAAGACGGCTCGAAGGGTATCCCAGTCGGCAATGCAATTGCCATTGTTGGAGAAGAGGGAGATGACCTATCGGGAGCGGACGAGATGGCTGCCAAAGCTGCATCCGCACCTGCACCCAAGGAGGAGCCGAAGGCCGAGGCACCTAAGGAGGAGCCCAAACCATCGACCCCCGCCCCAAAGTCTGAACCGGCTCCTCCCAAATCCGAACTTGCTTCCGGTAGCCGCATATTCGCGTCTCCCATTGCCAAGAAGATTGCTCTGGAGCGTGGGATTCCTCTCGGAAAAATCACGGGAACTGGTCCTGAAGGACGAATTCTCCGAGAGGACGTCGAGAAGTTCACTCCGGCTGCTGCCGCTTCGTCGAGCGCTGTTTCTGGTGCCCCTGCCGCCCAATCGTCTGAATATGAAGATGTCCCCATCTCCAACATGCGTCGTACCATTGGCTCACGTTTGACGGAGTCCAAGACCGAACGTCCCCATTACTACGTCACGGTCGATATTACCATGGACAAGGTCCTCAAGCTGAGGGAAGTCTTCAACAAGTCATTTTCGGAGAAGGACAAGGCGTCCAAGCTCAGTGTCAATGACTTCATCATCAAGGCTGTCGCCTGCGCCTTGAAAGATGTTCCCGAAGCAAACTCTGCTTGGCTAGGAGAGGTGATACGCACGTAAGTCGATGGCCTTCTTTTTGGCGCCTTAGCTGAGACCTCCTTCCTAGATACAAGAAGGCGGACATTTCCGTTGCCGTGGCTACTCCCAATGGCCTGATCACGCCCATCGTTAGGGATGCTGGTGGCAAGGGTCTTGCTACGATCTCTGCTGAGACCAAAGCCCTGGCGAAGAAGGCCAGAGACGGCAAATTGGCACCCCCCGAGTACCAGGTATGTAACACTGACTATCGACAAAAAATGTTTCTCTAAGCCGCGGCCACAGGGCGGAACGTTCACCATCTCGAACCTGGGCATGTTCGGTGTTTCTCACTTCACAGCCATCATCAATGCGCCGCAATCCTGCATTCTTGCTGTTGGGGCTACGGAAGCAACTCTTGTCCCCGCACCAGAGGAAGAGCGCGGCTTCAAGACAGCACAGATCATGAAGGTTACTCTGAGTGCAGACCACCGAACTGTAGACGGTGCTGTCGCTGCCCGATGGATGTCTGCCTTCAAGGGTTACCTCGAGAACCCTCTGACATTTATGCTATAATCAGGCGCGGGACGCGTAGTACCAAAAGATCCAGTCGGATGCTCACTTTAGATTCTAATACTTACACTTTCGCGTTACCGAACGCCATCAGTCACAACCGTGTAACGTGTGCTTAAGCCTTCCATAAACGATGCAGTCCCGGAGCGACCTGACGCGTAAAAGCGAGCTGTTGGCTCACTGGAGTAAAGATCTGGAGGAGATGTCGGTACTGCACGGAGAACTTGAGAAAGTTCGGTCTGAACGCGATCAAGCACGAGCATTAGTGGAGGTGAGTTGTCGCCTGAAGGCCTTTCAACATCGTTTGTCTGACAACTATCAGCAACAAAAGGAAGGCTTGAAACAGTAAATATAGCAACTCTCTGCATTTTGCTAGCCCTGAGTTGTTGTCAAGTGCCGCACTCGCGCTGCAAGACGTCAAGCGTGTCTCAGAAACGCTAGTCAGCTTGGTCCCTTCTTCCCCCTGCGCCTGCTCTTGATGAGTATGATTGCTAGGCTGATAATCACCGGAAGGCGATCGAACAGAAGAATGCGTCGATCCAGGAGTTACGAGTGACCCTTGAAGTTCAAACAAGAGAATTGTCCGAGGCCCGAGGGGAATTTGAACGAATAAAATTACAGCAAGTGTGTGACGGCATAGCTGGTCATGGCAAACAAATTGCGCTGATAAATGGAGCAGATAGAACTTCTCGAAGCCGCTAAGCTGGTCAACAGTAAAGAAGCAGAGAGGAGGACAATTGGTTCTTCCCGTCCTATCGAAAGCCCGCATGTCGTCACGAAGGAACAACAATTAGTCCTGAAATCGTGCGTTCACGCTGAACATGAGAAGGGCGAAGTGAAAGAAATGAAACCCGCAGTCAAGGAGGTTGTTGACTCAAATGCGCCGAGTGTGATTGAAAACCAGACAGACATTCCTCGCAATCGCGCTCAGATTCTCGAGGCATTTCCTGAATATATACCAAAAGCAAATTTAGATCCACCAGCCACTTTCACTCGAAACTTCTTGTCCGCTCAGCTGGGCGGAAGTCACCAGCCACTCATTGTGCGGTGAGTTGGCTTCTCCATCGACGCCACACCTCAGAGATTCAGACAAGCTTGCACAGTATCGCCGCAGATGCTCAGAAACCGTTGGCGAAGGAACTTGGTATCCGGAAATTCCTTTGTCCGAATCACAACAAGAATCCCTGGTGCCCCCAACTCGCAGGACGGCATGGGTATATGTTTGTTGGCCTGACGACTGAACGCGACACATTCGTGGAACCGAAGATCCTAAACTTGTTTATGTCTGCTCCCAAGTCTCACGGTCCACTCGAAGTGACTTACTTGGGGATCTACGAGGCCCTGCGCGTTGAGCCTCTCACTGTCGCTGAATGGCAGACTTTGACTTCAGAGGTGCAATCAGTACACGACCCGCATTACTCCATCTTACTTTCCACGCCAGAGACGAAAAGATTACGCGGAAATAGTTGCAGGAAGAGAATCTCAGCAACATAAGGGACAATCTGGAACAACTGGGAGACGGATTGACACTGCCCAATGCCAATCCCGGTTCGATTCGGGTGTGTATCAAGTGCCTTGTGTGCAACTGAAATGCGTGGGCTTCGACGAGGCCCTCTACGCTGCACTCTCGATTGCCCTTTCAGTGAGAAATCCAGGTGGGCTGTCAGAGCAACGAAAACGCGCTTCTTCGTTGGAGCAAGCCTCTCCAGTCAAACGCGTGCGAGCCTGAATTGTATCCCCCTCTCTCTCCTCTCGGGAATCTCCTCTCCTCTATCTACAATGCATCACCGAACGCCGCCGATCGGCAATTGCCTTATTACCGTAGACTTGTCTGCAGCGCGTCTGACTAATTAGAATCTTCCTATCACGTGGTCGTGCTTTGCTGCTCCCTTTGACCCAACTGTTCTTGCTTGCACATGCCAGGCCGCGTTCGTGAATCACCGTTGAAGAAACCCGGTTCGAGAACCCGCATAGAGACGTCTCATATCTTGATCATGCGCCAGACCGGCCGTACTTCGCTCTCGGTCTTGAAGGTTCCGCTAATAAGTTCGGCGCTGGTGTTATCAAACACTTTGAAGATGGGACTACCGTCGTGCTTTCCAACATCCGACACACGTACATAACACCTCCTGGGGAAGGCTTTCAGCCTCGCGATACAGCACTGCACCATCGCGAATGGGCGTTAAAAATAATCGATGAGTGCATCGTCCAAGCCGGATTGAGCATGCACGATCTCGACTGCATATGCTATACTAAAGGTGCGTGCATCGGATCTATGGCATTCCAGGCTGCGGTGGCTGACGATCGATCGCAGGGCCTGGTATGGGTGCTCCCCTACAATCGGTGGCTTTGATTGCTCGAACACTCTCGCTGCTATATCAAAAACCGCTAGTGGGAGTGAACCATTGCGTTGGACGTCAGTCAATTTCAGCTCATCCGGCTCTCTCTCACGAGATCCAGACATCGAAATGGGCCGCGACGTGACTGGCGCACAGAATCCAGTTGTCCTATACGTCTCTGGGGGAAACAGCCAGGTAATCGCATACTCCCGACAGTGTTACAGGATATTCGGAGAGACTCTGGATATCGCTGTGGGAAATTGCCTGGATCGGTTTGCGCGAGTGATAGATTTGAGCAACGATCCTGCTCCTGGGTATAATATTGAGCAGCTAGCAAAGAAGTGCGTAATGAGCTTTTTCCGCAATGAGATTTCCCTCAGCGATCGACAGGGGATCGCGTCTGGTTCCTTTGCCATACACTACAAAGGGGATGGACGTCAGTTTCTCCGGGATATTGACCTCAGTCGAGGCCTTCACACAAGACAAACGATTCCGGGCCGATGGCAAAGCGAGAGACGAGATGGATACAGATATCATCACACCTGCAGATCTGTGTTTCTCTCTGCAGGAAACCATCTTCGCCATGCTCGTTGAGATCACAGAACGGGCTATGGCACATATTGGAAGCAAAGAAGTGCTCATCGTCGGAGGTGTCGGCTGTGCGTCGTTCCTCACCTGTAAAACTGTTCGCGGCTGATGTGCGAGTACGGAATAGCAAACGAGAGGCTGCAAGACATGATGGGAATTATGGCTGAAGAGCGGGGAGGAAAGGTCTTTGCCATGGACGAACGATATTGCATTGACAATGGGATCATGATTGCCCACGCCGGATTGCTCAGTTTCCGAATGGGCTCAGAGACACCGCTGGCCAAAAGCACATGCACGCAAAGGCAATCATTTCTTCCCGGTGGAATACAGAATCTGATTGTTTCTAGGTTCCGCACGGACGAAGTACACGTCGCATGGAGGGCGTGAATGGCGTATACCATCACGCAGGAGCCACTATGCTGCTCACGAGCGCCAGTGCTTCCGAGTCCAACTGTCGGCTCATATCTTCATATTGCTCCCACCACCAACCGTTGACCACCGCGAACTCCTTCGAATCGCGCACTTGCCACGGCTTGTCAGCCAGAATGTAATGCACACATCGAACCAGGTCGTCATCCCAGATGGCCGCGTGGACGGTCCGTAGAGTCCTCAGTGCATTGTAGTACCAGTTTATCGATCTCCATTTCCCGTGAAAGAAGGCTGCGAGCAAGTCCTGATCCGGAAAACTGAACGATGGCACACGCTCGTCTGTGGCAAGGAAGTGGTACATCTGCTGGGCCAGCTCAATGGAAGGCTCGAGCACAACCGTCCCCGAATTAAGTAGATTGTGAGGACGAGGCGAGTCGGAAGGTACGGGCTGAGCACCAGCCGGGCCGGATACAGCACTGAAGCCACAATTTTCGGGGACCCTGGCCGAGATTCAGTCCGGATTCCCGAAATCGGGTGTGTGCTGACATACCAGTCCTTGGGATAGTGCGGGAATTTGCGGGGATTGCACGCGCAGGCATGGCATGCTGCAATGCCGCCCACTGGAAGCTCGAGCTCCATTAGATCATCCATATTTCTCTTCACCAGCATATCGCAGTCGAGGAGCACCACTCGCTGACCACGGGTCGTAAGGATAAACACCTAGAAGACACCAAGCGAAAGACATGCATCGTATTCAGCAAGTTCAAAGACTCTACGAAAGCGGTTATCCAAGTAGTGAGACCCTCATTCTCTGGAAACTTGCCGCAATTTCGTCCAAGTATCATGGAATCGGACATCGGCGGCTGAAAGACTATGAGTGCCCTCTTCCGGTCTCAAGGGCTGGATGTCTCGGATCTTTATTCCGCAATTGCTTAGGACGTCCCGAGCTGCTTGAGGCAGCTCTGGTGTGGCCAACACTACTAGAGGATACTTGGAATCGACTTTCTTGAGACCATGGTCCAGCACAAGAACTCCAGCAAGATAAGATGTTTTGGTGAGCAGAGTAGCAAAGGCTGCGCCAGGCATAGTCGTGGCTGTGAGCAAGCAGGGGACAGATCGATAGAAGGTCTCCTCCATGTATGTAATCATAGCCGCTCTGTGCGCTTAGATCTTGGGCCTCTGAATTTCGAGTATCTCGCGATGCGAAAGGAAAATGAGGATGAGCCGTCAATCAAGTCCAGAAAACTCAGTAGTAGTAGATGATTTCACTGATTCTTACACTCCGTAAAAGCGGACAAGATGAAAGCAAACTAGAAGCAGAGAAGGTGCATATTGGTCTCATATGGTATGCTCAACATAATAAATCGTGCTCGTGAATATCTTGCATCGCATAGTCGATAGAAGCTCGGAGTGCGCGGCGTGAAACCCATTGTGGATTGGAGGCTGAGTACAGATGGGAAAGAAATATGCGACGACAGGTAGCCAAGGTGGATCACCGCAAGCGACTGAGATGGGGAAGTGTCAGCCGGAATATAGACGTGGAGGACCGAACGCACCGAGCCTCACGCTCACTCTCAAGCAGAGCAAGGATATCTTTTTCACGGACGGGTCCCTTCACGTTCCGGATGATTGTACGGGTGGTGTCGTCCATGAACTCGACGCGGACTTGAGTGACACCTCCTCGAGAGCCAGTCCTACCGAGGACCTGTGTGAACGGCATTCAGTGTATGCTCGCAGCTTAAATGGAGGGACGGAAAGGACCTTGATGACGGTGGCGAGTTTTACGGGGGCCTTGGAGGAGTCCTGAACGAGAAGTCAGAAACGGACGTGATGTGGAGGACGCATAGCTGCGCCGCTCACCATCTTGTTTTGGGAGGGAGTGACGAGGTCAACGAAAGTTTTGAGTCTGTGGACGTGGGAACCGTGATGATGACAAAGCGGCCATCAGGCGGCTGTGCTCAACTGGCAAGGTTGCGTTGCGTGATCAATTCGTAGAGGAGGGTGAGCATCATGACAGCTACTGAGTGGTATTTTACAGACATTAATGTACACTACGGTCGTCATAACTAAAATCTAAAGATCACGCATCCACGGAAGGTGCGCTTGCAATCTGGCTGGCGAGCAGTGTCTTGGCCTTCTTCTCGACACCTTTGTTGCGCAAAACATTCTCAATGTAGAATTCCCCGGCCTACACGAGAATTAGTCTCAGAGACATTGAGTAGGTACTTTGCCGCACCTTGTAGCTGCTGCGGACGAGAGGACCGCTTGCAACGTATAAGAAGCCCATGTCCTCTGCGACCGTCTTCCACTTGTCGAACTCTGCTGGCTCAACGTATCGATCCACTTTCATGTGCCGCTTCGTTGGCCTCATGTATTGGCCGAAAGTGACAACATCAACGTCGATCTTTCGTAGCTCTGTTTGCCATGTTTAGCACTTCGTATCTGATCGCGATCATAGCCTACCTCTCAAAGCGTCGAGCACTTGTTCCTCGTTCTCACCAACACCGAGCATGATGCTGGTCTTGGTGATGCGAACACCCTCCTTTTTGGCGTGCTCGAGCACCTTCAGACTTGTCCTGAAGGTGGCCCGCCGATCGCGGACGAAAGGAGTCAGAGCCTCCACAGTTTCGATGTTGTGAGCGTAGACGTCGAGTCCCGACTTGGCGACAATGGAAACATCCTCCATTGAGCCACCAAAGTCGCCGGTGAGAGCTTCGACAAGGATGTGAGAAGCCCTGTGGGCAAGAATTGAGTGCGCAATGATGCAACGAGTATCCGACCGCTTACTTGTGCTTGATTTTGCGGATGGTCTCGGCAAAATGATGTGAGCCACCATCTACCAGGTCTGCGAACAGCGTTGGAGTTGACGAGACAGAAATCATGAAGCGGTCGCACCGTCCCGGTCAACACTGGTCAGCACGATGTACCCAAGACCCCATCGACTGATCGCTTCAGCGGTGTTCTCTGGTTCATGCGGGTCGAGCGGCGGTGGCGCGCGTGAGGTCTTGACAGAGCAGAACCTGCAGCCTCGGGTGCAGGTGTCCCCCATTAACTACACGCCTGTCAGTGTTAATCATACGACGAGAAAATGAGACGCTATGAACCATAATGGTCGCTGTTGCCGCACTTCGACCCTCCGCCTCAGTGGCACCGGGCTTGCCACCCCAGCAATCACCAATATTCGGGCAGCGGGCCTCCTCGCAAACGGTATGTAAGCCAAGACCGCGAAGATCCTTCTTGATTTTCTTGAAGGATTCTCCAGAAGGAATGGACGTTTTCAGAAAGGAGGGAAGACGAGGCCTGGGGCGTCTCTTAGAAAACGAACGATTCTATCGCAGACAGTGGCCAACCCTCTGGTGTTCCCGAGCACTATTCGTTCCTGTGGGGCAGCGTCCCCCGAAATGAAGTCGTCTAGTGAGGGCCCTGCATCTAGCTGGTTTTTAAATGCTGGTTTCACGGCTACGGAAGGTGTCGTTGTCGCTAGGCCACGGTGCTGCACGGCGAATCTCTTGAGCACACGAAGGGAAGAGGTGGAGCGCGACATTGAAGGATGAGAAGAGAGAGCGGATCAATAATCCGAAGCTGCGGCCTGAGTCGCACTCGGTCACTCCGTTTCGGGCTCCCTACGGGATGACAAAGAGAGCCAAACAAATCAAACTCTCTATGAACGCTTTGTCGCGTCGCGAGGAAGACAATCTCCTGAAGGTCACGAAAGAACGGGCAGTGCAAGAGTGTCATGAAGTTGTAAAGGGTTCGACAGACTCGGACTATGTCTTCTGTGTCTGAACGCGCCATAGCCTTCGCAGACTGTATCACAGGTCGCACAATATCAGTCGCGTGGGCTTGCAGAGGCCAGCTGCGCACGATGCAGGACTGCATGATTCTCTAGTATGTAAACATTTCTTGCTTTACTTCCAGCGATGCAGACTCTACCTGGCCAGCACTGGACCCGAACCATATGAACGAGTGCGCACAGAATATCTGCGACTTCGCACTGAGCAAAAAGCCGCGAAACTACGAGAGTCGGAAGCAAAATCGGTAGCCGCATAAGTGAGTTGACGCTTTGCTCGAATCAAGAGCTGAGTAATGTGCAGTGTATTCAGTACCATAAACAACATCCATCTTATACATCTTATTTGGTACCGCCCACTGCTTCCCACTGCTTCTGCAAAGCCATCAAGGAAGAGATCATGCTGTCTCTTTCTGTTAATGAGATGTTCGAGATACAATGGTGGAACATACGCGAATGTTCCGACAAAACCGTCGTTCATGCTGCTCCATCCCAGGTTGGTTGCCGGGGTCCAGACATCCAACGCGTCCATGATGAATTGATGACGCACAGCGTCCTTCGTTCTGCGAAAGATCAGCAAAGTGAAGATGCATCGGCATAATCTAAAGGCTGACTTGGATATGGCTTGCAGTCGTGACTGGCCATCCATCTTGCTGCCAACGTCTTTCTCGCTGAACTGCTGATGTTTGAGAAGCTTGGCTTCGCGGCTCAAACGTGCAGTCTGTTGAAGCTAAGAATGCAACACAGAATATATTATCATTGAGCTTACTTTGACGGCGGCATGCGTGATTCCAAAGAGAATTCCTGCAAGCCAAGAGCGATTCGCCACCCTCAAGATCTTAGCGGCAGCAGAAGATTCAAGACTCAGGAATTTGATAGTATGAGCCTGCGCCACGTTTAGTCACGAAGAGGGATGAATACCTAGCACGAATGACTGACCCAGGTAAGCATGTCAAACGCCAGGTACGAAAAGTACGCAAGCTGACGAGCAACGGCCAGAATTTGCTCGATTGGTGGGTCGGCCGAGATAGTAGCCTTGAGGGCTGCTTGTAGATGTTCCATGGGCTTGCCCAGTCGAAGGACTGAAATGGTTATCGCTGTGAGACGCACCGGCACTCGTAGTCATGACCAGACTCACGCTTTCGCGCAATAGCCAAATGCGACTTCATGGCATTCCATCGTGCAGAATCTTCCTTGTGGCCGCGCAAAGCCAAAACCCACGAATAAGCTCGGGCGAAGTTCTGCACCGCCCGGTACAGTTTGTCTCGACCAAGAGTGGTCGACCCTAGCTTGAGCGCTCTAGAGACAGAGGGATGAAGTACGAGTTGGGAGGCAATGCTCGCCATGGCGGTTATCTATACGGTGTCGGAGAAGTGGTACAGATGCAAGCTGTTATAAAGTACCCATACTCACGTGTTATTCAAGTCTGGGGTAATCGGCCCGATTCCGGTCCATCCACACTCAATCACGATCGTCAAGAGTCGCGACACGTCCCATAAATTATAACGCATCGAGTTCAGAGTATTCAAATCCTCTAGCTCACTGAACATAACATTTCTCGGGCGCTTCCGGAAAGAAACGTCTTCTTCTGGCGTATCCGGAGACTTCGATGAGATCTTAGCATGTGGCCCTGCGCGGACGCTCCATTGTTTGCATGGATATTCCCATGGGGCGCAGAGGAAGGACAGTAAGAGAGATAAATGGTGATAGAAAGCGGTGTTAGAGGGAGATTCGAGTTTACTGGTTGCAGAGATCCCCTTCGAGATTCGCGTCCTTATTTATATTACCCGACGACGTGACATCAAGGCTCACATCAAGGCTCGGGAAAAGTCGGGCATGGTCGGAATGTGGTGGGAAGTGTGACAGCTTTAGCGACAACATTTCTCGACTCCCAGTTTCTTGTTCCCAAAAGGCCGGATCCCAATGGCGAATCGACTCACTGGCCAGGTTCGTGAAACTCGACCGTATTGCAGCATATTCACGTGATAGACATCCAGCTCTTAAGACACTCGACGCAAAGAGTTCATCAAAGACTCTTCTCAAGTACTTCCACTGTCATGGTACTGACTGCCTGTCGACGCGTGTTATAAGCTTTGACTCTTATCCTGCAGTCGGAACAGCAATTCCGTGTGGAAAGGGACACATTCGGCGAGCTACAGGTCCCGGCTGACCGTTACTGGGGTGCTCAGACTCAGCGGTACGTTCTATCATATCTCCGAGGTTACATCGTTGATGATCGTGCAGTTCCCTCCAAAATTTTGATATTGGTGGACCTGCTGAGCGCCTACCTCCTCCCCTGATTAAAGCCTTCGGTGTCTTGAAGAAGGCTGCCTCTATCGTCAATGTCACCTACGGACTGGACCCCAAAGTTGGCTCGGCTATCCAACAGGCTGCTGATGATGTCAGTAGTTCCGCCTCATTCGTCTCCTTTTCTATCCCTAAGCATCGAGCAGGTCATCGCGGGCAAGCTTACGGACCATTTCCCGCTCGTGGTTTTCCAGACTGGCAGCGGAACCCAGAGCAACATGAATGCCAACGAGGTGCGCTCTGCAATCGAGACCCGTGGCTTCACCTCTGAAGTCGCGATCAGGTCATCTCGAATAGGGCGATTGAGATCCTCGGTGGTGAGCTTGGCTCCAAGAAGCCGGTTCACCCCAACGACCACGTTAACATGAGCCAGAGCAGTAACGATACGCAAGTCTAAACCTTCCTATCTCTTTTCTCTGGCCTCATTTTAGACCCCAGCTTCCCCACTGCTATGCACGTTGCAGCTGTCACTGAGATCAATCAGTCCCTGCTCCCTGCATTGATCGAATTGCGAGATGCTTTGGATGCCAAGTCCAAGGCATTTGATCATATCATCAAGATTGGACGCACTCACCTTCAGGTAAGTGTCTGTCAATACAAGACGTCATTTCAGCCAGCTCAGATCTCATATTCTAGGATGCTACACCGCTTACTCTCGGCCAAGAGTTCAGCGGATATGTTCAGCAATTGACGAACGGGATTGAGCGTGTCAAGGCCACCTTGCCGAGACTCAGCTGTCTCGCACAGGGTGGAACGGCCGTTGGTACTGTGAGTGCTGGGTCCTTGAAGTCGGAAGCGGTTTCTGATCTGGCTCAGGGATTGAACACCAAAAAAGGCTTCGATGTGAAGGTTGCTGCCGAAGTATCGAAACTCACCGGGTTGGAGTTTGTGACTGCACCGAACAAGGTAAACACGGCATCTCTCCATTGATCTGTAGTAACACCAAAGCAGTTCGAAGCACTGGCTTCCCACGATGCTTTGGTCGAGGCACACGGCGCTCTCAATGTCCTTGCCGTCTCTCTGATGAAGATTGCCAACGACATCCGTTACCTCGGTTCTGGCCCTCGCTGTGGACTCGGGGAACTGAGTCTGCCAGAGAACGAGCCTGGGAGCAGCATCATGCCTGGCAAAGTCAACCCCACACAATGCGAGGCGCTGACGATGGTGGCTGCCCAAGTCATGGGCAACAACACCACTGTCAGCATTGCTGGCTCCAACGGACAATTCGAAGTGTGTTGCCCACCGGTGTCGCGCGTTCCGTTCTCACACTCCGATAGCTGAACGTATTCAAACCGGTTATCATCAAGAACGTCCTACAAAGCATCCGCTTGCTTGCTGATGGTGCGAGACCACCTGACATCTCTAACACGGGACTAATGCAGCAGGACAGGGTCACGCTCCTTCACCAAGCACTGCGTTGTCGGCATCGAGGCTAACGAGAAACGGATCAATACGCTGCTGAACGAGTCCCTGATGTTGGCGACTATTCTGAACAGTCATCTTGGATATGACAGTACGTCACCGTCTCGCTGGCGCTGGGATTTTACTGATTTTCGGCAGATGTTGCCAAATGTGCGAAGAAGGCCCATAAAGAAGGCACCACCCTCAAAGAGGCCACCGTTTCGCTTGGGTTCCTCTCTGAGGCCGAGTTCGACAGCAAAGTCAAGCCGGAATTGATGTTGCACCCCGATCCTTAGTTACTTATATCAATACCATGTCGCCGTGCGCTACTTACTTGCTCCCCCAACAAAGCTGTTTGTTTGGTGTGTTCTAGAACACCAGAAAACCGTGTGTAATAGCACAGCCACTCGATGTCAGAACCAATCTGGGCATGCATAGGAACAGGGAGTCAGACGGAACCCTGATGCCTTGAGGTCAGAGGAACCTCAAATGAAAAATGCTCTTCAAAGTCATCGTCAAAAATGCGAATGCAGATGGTTTCCCGTCGCTAGCTTTGAGTTTTTGAGGAAGCCAACTGAGTCTAGAAAATGCCAACCTGTCCGCCAATTACGGAAATCCAAGAATGATGTATATAGAGCCTTTCAATCGTTAGGCCGCCCAGGCGGTTCCCATCGCCTGTTGTTTTTCCCCCGTTCCCTTCTCCCTTCGACTTTTGTCTCCCTCCTCTATTGCCACCGGTTTTGACGATATATCGTCGTCGTCGTCGTCTGCGACGTTCCGCTCGAGGCTCTTAAGCTCAACGACGTGTCATGTCGTTGAAACGCATTTTGAACGATGAGCCTGCTCCAGGCCCATTATCTTATACCGCTCCTCGGCCAATCCACGTTGATTCACACCCGTCGTCGAGTAAAGTAACACCGGGTCAATCCCTTCTCCCTCTCCTGGGGGGCTCAGAGTTACCCCCACTTAATCAGCCGTACCCCCAGAAGCCGTTCCCATCCCTTCCGAGCTATCCATACCCACAACATGACTGGTCGCCGAATGAATCATTCGCAATGGAGGAGAGGCGTAGAAGAGAGGAGGATAGCGAGTATGGGCCCCAAAGATCAGTACGTTCTACATGCCGGCTCACATCCGTCTTCCTGTCTGAAACGATTCTAGTTTTCTTCGCTCCGATCATCCTCAAGTGAGGCACCTATGGCCTCACTCAAAGATCCACAACGGCCTCTGCCTGCCAATAGGACTGTGGAAGAAGCTCAAATGGCATCGGACCTAGAGGACTTTGAAGACGTGTGGGCTGAGGAACTCAATGTCTACGCGGCCGAGACGCGCAAACGGAAATTAGATGTGGAACAGTGGTACGAAACAAGCGTGCTGGTGAGTTGTTGGGCCGTCAGGCTTGTTCCGACATTTCACGTACTGACACGCGTTTAGGAACGCAACTCCTCTGTCGCGAGATCTGTGTCGCACTACTACTCGACGAAGATGTCAAAAGCCCCTGCCATGGCTGTGCGTTCGCCAGGACATGCAGAGGAGAGTTCACGCGCATTATCCCCAGCCAGCGATCACTCTTACACCATGGACAACTATGCATACGATCCCCCACCGGAGGTTTACGGCGACGGATATCGTGACCGCGAGTATACGTCTTCAGTCAGAGAGATCCCGCGGCTGCCGCCTCCTCCCGTGCCCGTTGCTCCGAACAAGGGCAAAGCTAAGCGCCAGTCGAAGGTCAAGGCGGAGACGCCGGCTGGGGCCGCTGCACCACCCGAACGACCCGCCAAAAGAAGGAAGGTTGCTGCTGCACGCGTTGAAGAGCCTCTTCCGACCTCCGACGCGATGGACGAAACGAACGTTGAATGGGTGCCAACGCCGCAACCCCCATTTCCATCCCGTGCGACAGAAAAAGCGCGCGAGGAACCAGCACAATCAATTTCTTCGATATCTGCAGCCAAAGCTCCGCGTAAGAAACCCGGTCCCAAGAAGAAAGGATTTGGCCCCGAGTTGGAGATGCAACGGGCCTCACTGGCTCCGTCTGTGGCAAGTGACGTAACCCCGGCTTTGTCACGGCCGTCGTCGCGCCCTTCATCGCCCGGGCCTATTGCCAATCCCTACTATTTCGAGCTCGACGAGCAGATTCCGCCGCTCAAGAAAGCCAAGAAAGTGGATGATTCAGTGATGATCAAGCGGCTCAGGACCCTCGAGGAGACGCAACGGAAGGTCTGGACTAATATTGCTCGGAAGGACGTCGCCAAGGTATATCTACTTGCTCGTTTCCCTTTGAAGCTTGCCTTGACAAACACGTGCAGGTGTACAAATATCATGTTTCTGGATACGAAGCTAAGCTCAAGCTGACGGAGCGGGTCGCCAAAGTCGTCTCTGTGCAGGCGCGCAAGCCCTTCGCGAAAACAAACAAGACGACCAAAGAGACACAGACGAAAGCCAAACGCTTGATGCGCGAGATGCAAGTGTTTTGGAAGAAGAACGAGCGGGAGGAGCGCGACGTGCGGAAGAAGGAACACAAGGAGGCCATGGATCGTCTCAAGATGGAGGAAGAAAAGCGCGAGGCCGCCAGACAGGCTCGCAAGCTCGAGTTCCTCATCAGCCAGACGGAATTGTACAGTCACTTCGTGGGAAGCAAATTGAAAAGTACGTGGATGCGTCGTCGAGATGACCTGCTTCTGACAAAACGATAGCTTCTGAAGTAGAGGGAGAAGGCGCTGATACGGCTGCGCCTGCGGGTGCCGACCTCGAAGACGTGGATCGCGCTAACCTGCAAGATATAGACTTCGACGATGGTTCGCGTCCGAGTCGAATCCCTGACGCTCAACTGACCTGCGCCCCTAGAGGATCGCACCAACTTGCATTTGCATGCCAGAGCGAATGCACAAGAGGCCATGGCTATGGCCAAACAACGAGCTCAGCAGTTTGACGTCCAAGCTGCATTGGACCGCAAGACCAATGAGGCGCTCAAACTGGCGAAAGGCCAAGCGCATATTCACGACGCTACCGACGAGACGACGGAAGGAGCGTCGACATCGGCTCCCCTCGTGGATCGTGAGTGGAGTCTTGCGACTAGTGGATTGAGACTCATTTCTTTGCAGTGGACTCCGATGAGCTCAACTTCCAGAACCCAACTTCCTTGAGCGGTTCGCTCACCATTGGTCAACCGAAAATGCTCACGGCTCAATTGAAGGAGTATCAGCTGAAGGGATTGAATTGGCTCGCGACGTTGTATGAGCAAGGCATCAACGGAATCCTGGCGGATGAGATGGGTCTGGGAAAGGTCAGTCTTCCGCAGATCCGGTAAATTTGTCACACTCAGATCTTGGCAGACCGTTCAATCGATATCTCTGCTCTCGTATCTGGCCGAAACGCATGATATTTGGGGACCCTTTCTCGTGGTGGCTCCGGCGTCGACCTTGCACAACTGGCAACAGGAGCTGACCCGCTTCGTACCTCATCTGAAAGCTTTGCCGTACTGGGGTAACGTCAAGGATCGGGCGACCTTGCGCAAGTTCTGGAGCAAGAAGGAAATCACGTACAACAAAGACGCCCCGTTCCACGTCTTGATCACAAGTTACCAGCTCGTATGCTCTTTGCTATCGGGATGTTTTCCGTGACTCATTCACCATCTTAGGTCACTCAGGACCAGCAATACTTCCAGCGTGTCAATTGGCAGTACATGATTCTCGATGAAGCTCAGAACATCAAAAACTCGTCCAGTGTCCGATGGAAAACTCTGCTTGGGTTCCACTGTCGCAACCGACTGCTCTTGACCGGGACGCCCATTCAAAACTCGATGCAAGGTATGTTGTTTACATCTTGTTGGCAGTGCTCCTTCTGACAAGATCACAGAGCTGTGGGCGCTGCTGCATTTTATTATGCCTAGTCTTTTCGATTCTCACGACGAGTTCAATGAATGGTTCTCGAAAGATATCGAGAACGCAGCGGAGAACAAGGGAAGTAAACTCAACGAGCACCAGCTCCGTCGTCTCCACATGATTCTCAAGCCTTTCATGCTGCGGAGAGTCAAGCGCCACGTCCAAAATGAGCTCAGTGAGAAGGTTTGGCGAGTTACCCCATGCTGCAGGATCTTGCTCATCTTTGAACAGATCGAGAAGGATATCTATGTCGACTTGAGTGCAAGGCAGCGGTCGCTTTACAAGGCTTTGCTCCAGAATGTTTCAATCACAGACTTGCTCGAGAAAGCTGCCAATATTGGCGACGCTGATTCTGCCCGGACGTTGATGAACTTGGTGATGCAATTCCGCAAGGCAAGTCTCTTGTCGATTGTTGTCAGCATTAGCTGAATCGGAACAGGTGTGCAACCATCCCGAGCTTTTCGAACGTGCGGATGTGGTTGCACCCTATTCGTTCGCGCTCTTTGGCCGACCTGGACCTCTCAATCGAGAGGGTGATTTTGTACTAATGCCATACTCAACGAGGAACCCGATCGAGTTCTCGGTCCCAGAGCTGATGTTCACTGGCGGTGGATTGTTGCGAGTACCGTCGGAGGATTCGACCGTTCCGTCGCAGAGCAGTTGCCTCAACAAACTCATGAACATTTGGTCCCTTGATTGGGTTCATCGTTCGCTGTATGAGGAGGGTGCGTCTGCTTCTTTTCGAATTGGCGGTGCCCATCCTGATTTCGCCGAAGCATCCTCGTCTTTCTCCTTCCTGCGACTCATCGACAGTTCTCCTCGAGAAGCCCACGATCTGCATCTAGCGCCGCTGATTAGCCGTCGGTTGACTGCTATCCGGCACGACATCTCGGCTGTCGAAGAGGCGCCATTCTACTGGTCGGTGCACATCCCTCTCCCTCTTGAGCGTAGTTGTCTCAAAGTATCCCAGTGAGCCGTCGTTCGCAGCCCATCAACTTCGGAGCGAATTCAATGTCCCGCCACTATCTTCTCGGCTTCGATGCCTAGAACGCGTCCCAGGACTGCCGGATCTCCAAGCGATCAGTCAAACTGCGTGGTCCCTCAGCTGTCTGTCTCGACCTGAGTTGAGATGGTTTGTTCCTTCTGTGGTCGCTCCTCCGATTTCGATGTATTGCACAAATCGGGTGTTCCTGGAGAGGCAGGAGCAGCTGCTTGATGCACCGTTGGAAACCCTGGCACTGTTCGGTCTTCCTGCCGAGTTCCGAGACTCGCAGGACGCTTGCGATCGGTACTGCGAGCTCACTCACGGGCTCGACACGCAAGGTCTGTTCCGCAACTCGCCTTCGGATCAGATGCCTCCTCCGACCATGCAAGTCCCCGAGGCCAAGCGTCTAATTTACGATTCTGCCAAACTCGCAGCGCTGGATGCACTTCTCCAGGAGCTCAAGACAGGCGACCACCGAGTGCTCATCTACTTCCAGATGACCCGCATGATGGACCTCATGGAAGAGTACCTCATATATCGTCAATACAAATATCTGCGACTGGATGGCTCTTCCAAGATTGAGGACCGGCGTGACATGGTCATCGACTGGCAAACCAAGTATGCCGCCATTTTCTTCGCACTGGCTCATGACTAAGCTCCCCGCAGGCCGGATATCTTTGTGTTCATTCTGAGTACTCGGGCCGGTGGTTTGGGCATCAATCTGACTGCGGCGGATACTGTGATATTCTATGACCATGACTGGAACCCTTCGAACGATGCGCAAGCCATGGACAGAGCTCATCGACTTGGCCAGACACGTCAGGTGACCGTCTACCGCCTGATCACCAAGGGCACAATCGACCAGCGCATCGTCCAGATGGCGCGCGTGAAGAAAGATGTCGGTGCTCGTTTCAAATCGATCTGTCTTTTGACTAAATGTGTTTTAGGTTCAAGATCTCGTTGTCGGACAGAAGAACTTCACGGACGCCAACAAGCCGAGCGAGATCATGCAACTGTTGTTCGATGACGAGCAGCTCGCCAACATGGAGAACACTCGTGGCCAGCCTCCTGACGGGGGCTCTGCCAAACTGTTCAATGTCGAGGGTGATGATATCGACGACTTCTTCGGCCACTCCGGTCCGTCAGCCCCAGCCCCGATTAATTCCAATGAGAACGGCGAGGAAGAAAATCCCACAGGGACCGGTGCCCGTGGGAAGAAACGCAGAGGCACTGGAGCACCCCGCGGGCGCAAGCCAGGTCGTAAGAAAGCTGATCAGTAGCAGTATCCGTGACTTGTTCATCTGTTTCTTGTTTTGACATTGCATCTCGTACCATCTCTTACTGTAGACATCTGCATTAGTATAAGAACAGCCCAGTCATGTAGTAGTATATGTAAATCTACCTTTGAAGGAAGGATCAGCATCGGCACCGGTTCCGGCCAAACATCTTTGTGGCGAAATGTGACGCCGACTCCGTGACTCGGTGCTCTCCACTTTTCGTGCGTATCATCTCTCATGCTCATACCAACCGCACCATCTACACTAGAATCCACAAGAGCAACATCTAGAAGTTGTATACGCGGTCATTTCACTAGCCGGGAGGAGCTGCAGTCGGAGAACCCGAGCACCCACACCCTATTCTACGACCATACTTAATTGACCCCGACGCCGACCCATACACGTTTGACGACCACCCCGACTTGCACCAAGTCCCGGATACGGTGCCACCCCCGAGCGTAGTTTCACCACCCTTGTCGGTCGCGTGCGATGGCCAAGAAGAAAAAAAGCCAACTGAAGCCAGTGAACCGCGGGTTCGCGACGACTTCTGTCCCGAAGAAAGTCGTGGTCGAAGAAGAGACCCCGGACGTCCCCACTGTGGATGCTGGAGACAAGGACGGTGGCGCTGCGGAGGCGGCCGGCGCCACCGCGGAAGGCGGTCCGTTGGTCGAAGAGCAGGCGCTGCAGACGCTGGTCGACAAGCAGGACAAAGTGGAGAAGGAGATCGCGAGGTGCGTCTTGTTTTTATACCTCCCCTCCATTCCACGCTGAGCCGGTTTATCTCAGATTCATCAAGGTTGCCTTTGTTTCGTTCGAGCCTCCGGACTGCGCTGAGAGACTTCTTTGCAGATCATTGAGACTGAAAAGCGCTACTCTTATACGCTATCCCCTTTGGAATTGAATTCGGCTCTGAGGAATCGCGTCCTAGCGCTGCTGGTGGAGTCCGAGGAGCTTGCTTCAGGCCAGGCCACTCCCCATCATCCGGAGCTGGAGTCTGAGGAAAAGGCTCTGAACAAGTTGGCAATAACCTACGGTGTTCTACGTCGGCTCCTTTTCACAGAGGAGCGCGTGGACGAGTGTCTTCGTGCCATCAAAGGTGTCGAGTTGGACGAGGCATTCGAATGGGTATGTTCATTGGTTCGTTGTCACAAACCGAGATCCTGACTGCTTGGTACTCAAGCTGTATATACATTGCTCTCAGGAAGAACTGGAGGATCAGCGTGGGTGGATTGGATTCGATTGTGTGAGTTGAGGTACTTACTTTTCTTTCAGAGGTTATAGAATCGGTCGAGCCTCGGACACCTAGGTCTCCTCGAGGACCGTCCCATCCACCACGGACTCCTTCCCAACCCTGGACGATTCAGACACCTTCCTCGCCCACAGCTTCTTTCACTCCATCCCTCATGACACCGACTGCTTCCATCAGCTCCATCTTGGATGCTAACGCGGTCCCCTTCGTCCCATCTTTTCTTCGCGCACCAACGGCATCTGATGACTCCAAGCCCGCGCCTCACGACAATTGCGATGACACCAAAGTGGATTTGAAGTCGCGCATCCTGGAGCAGCTGAACCATTCGTCGGACTCCGACGACGACGACGATACAGCCGGACAGTATGCGCGCATCAGGATGAAGATTGATGCCATCTCCCCAGCGGGACCTGCCGGGGAGCTGCATTCTTTACGAACACGACTGGAGCAGATCCAGAACCACTACTTTTTCGACAAGAGAGAGGCTGAGGCTCGATACCGGGTTGAAGTCCGCAAGGCCGATTCGGTGGCTCTCCAAGCGCGATTACGAGGCACTGACGCGCCGCCTTCGACGAAACCGCGGCCACTTAACCTGATCACGGTAGCGCCCCAGCCTGTCGATGCTGTTGCTGAGGAGGGTGATATATTTGACGAGGACGACGGTCCAGGCGGGCTGTTTGACGCGCTGGAACCCATGCCCGGAGAGGTTATGACTTCACAGAACAAGCTTGTTCCCGTGCGCGACATGAAGCTGCCGAAGCACTGGTCAGGTCGCACACCGAAACTGTTGTTGATTGAAATGGTCGGCAAGATTGATCGCTATGCCGCGATCAGCTACAAGCTCCTGTCGGACAGCAGTCGTGCGAAGCGTTGTTCTGTGAGCATCCGGTGGAATGTGCTCAAAGCCGATGAGTGGTCGATGGACGATGTCGCCTGTTTCGACCAGGAGCAGGCTGAGCAGTACATTGCGGCTATTGCCTTGCACGACGTGACTTTCCCTTCACGCGATGCGTTTACTGCCGCCGCACCTTCGACAAACCAGACCTTTTTCCGTTTGCTTCCTCCTGTTTTCAGAGACTTCTGGGAGGAGCTTGAGGCCGAACGCAAGACCAAAACAGATGCGTTGAACCGTGCTGTTTGGGCCAAGCTGCAGTCGATTCTAGACTCGAAGATCGGGGACATCAAGGTCAGATATTCTTAACCGCTAGTGCCTGCAGAGATTGATCAGTCCTCAGTTCAACACCAAACAGGTCAAGGAATCGAACGGTACCCGGTCGACAGCCATGCCCCGATCGTATCTATCTACCAACAGTGCTATTGCGGAGCAGGTCGTGGCAGACTTTGAGGCTAGACAGGCCAGCCCAGCGTATCAAGAGATGCTGGCGAGTGTTTTCGCTGTCTAGGTCTCAGCCGTGCATTGACCGATCATAGGTCCACCGCAATCAGCTGCCTATCGCACAGTACCGTGACGAGATCATCAACACCCTGGAAGACTCTCAGGTCCTCGTCTTGAGCGGCGAGACCGGCTGCGGAAAATCGACGCAGGTTCCCGCCTTCATCTTGGAGCATCAATTGAGCCAAGGGAAGATGTGCAAGATCTACTGCACAGAGCCTCGCCGGATCTCGGCGATCTCGCTGGCCCAGCGTGTCTCGCGAGAGCTGGGCGACGGCCCGTCTGCTGTGGGGACGTTGGCGTCGCTGGTCGGGTATGCCATTCGGCTGGAATCCAATACCTCGCGCAATACAAGGCTTGCGTTTGTCACGAATGGGATTGCACTGAGAATGCTGGAAGGGGGCTCCAGCTCCACGGGTCAAGGCACCGCGTTTGATGAGATCACTGTAAGTGGAATGCGGCGCATTAGTCCCTCAGTTGACTCAATTTTGCAGCATATCATCATTGATGAAGTGCACGAGCGCACAATCGAGTCGGACTTTCTGCTGATTGTGCTGAAGCATCTCATCCGGCAACGGTCTGATCTGAAGTAAGACAGCGTTGTTGGATATGGCTCCCACTGACACTGTACAGGGTCATTTTGATGTCAGCGACGGTCGATGCAACAAAAATATCAGAGTTCTTCGACAACTGTCCCACTCTTCATGTCCCTGGCCGCACCTTCCCGGTGCAGGTCAATTTCCTGGAAGACGCCATCCAGTGCACAGGTTGGGAGGTCAACGAGACATCGCCATACGCTCGTCGACGTACGTCTTCCATCTTTCTTCGTCATTGACAATGACCGACCTCATTTCAGAGAACGACAAGTTCTACCAGGGCAAAAACCGGGTTGACTGGTCTGAAAGTATACTGACACGAGAGGACGACGAGGACGACGCGATTCATGAGAGTGTGAAGCTCGAGAAACGCTACTCGGCTTCAACGACCCAAACTATCAATCTGTTCGACGAGCGGCAGGTGCCTTATGAGTTGATTGTCCGACTGCTCGAGCACATCTGCTTCCAAGACTCGGAGTACTCCGGCTTTTCCAAAGCGATTCTCATCTTCATGCCTGGTCTCGCTGAGATCCGGCGCCTGAATGATATCCTGACTGAGCACCGATCGTTTGGGAACGATGATCTGTTCCGTCTGCATCCCCTGCACTCCACGTTGTCGAGCGAAAGCCAGGGCGCGGTGTTTGACATTCCTCCTCGCGACATCCGCAAGATCGTTATTGGTGTGTTGGCACACTCCCGACATCTTCCGGTTTAGGCTCATCGTTCCTTCACAGCGACGAATATCGCTGAGACGGGTATCACCATTCCGGATATCACCTGTGTCATCGACACGGGAAAGCATCGCGAGATGAGGTGCGTGCTAAATCTTGACCCGCTCCGGTCTTATGTTGGCTGATGTGACTCCACAGATTTGACGAGAAGAGGCAAATCAGTCGTTTGGTGGAGACATTTGTAGCTCGCAGCAACGCAGCTCAACGTCGAGGGAGAGCGGGTCGTGTACAACCCGGACTGTGCTTCCACCTGTTCACCAAGTTCCGTCACGACACCCAGTTGGCCGAACACCCTCTGCCGGAGATGATGCGTCTCAGTCTGTCTGATTTGGCGCTGCGGATCAAGATCATGAAGGTCAAGATCGGGAACTCTATCGAGGATGTCTTGTCTCGTGCGCTCGATCCACCGGTGTCCATCAACGTGCAGCGAGCGGTGGCAATGCTCGTCGAAGTCGGAGCACTCACACCCGCCGAAGAGATCACACCGATGGGTCGTCTGTTAAGCAAGTTACCCACTGATGTTCACCTTGGGTGCGTATGGCATGGCAGACGATGGACGAGACTTATTGTTTAACAGCAAATTCCTGTTGACTGCTGTTCTCTTCCGATGCTTGGATCCCGCCTTGTCGATTGCTGCCGCCATCAACTCAAAGTCGCCTTTTGTCACACCTCTGGGCCTCGAACAGGAAGCGGACCGGGCCAAGCTCAACTTCAGATCAGACAACTCTGATTTCCTGACGATCCATAACGCCTTCTCCAGTTGGCGGAGAGCCTGTAACAACGGCACACCGGCTGCTGCTCGGGCATTCTGCCGTGCTAATTACCTGAGCCATCAGGTTTGTGATGTCCTCCCCTTCTGCTGGATTGAGGCTCAACATTCCGTAGAACCTACAGCAGATGGAGGAGCTACGACAACAGTTCCTGGGGTACCTGGTCGATTCGGGCTTCATGCGAGTCGACAACACCTTCATCCGAGAGCTTACTCGAGCGCGTTATGGCCGACACCATCGCACCCGCTTCATTCTCGTTCCCCCAGAACTCGACTCGAATACGACCTCGCAGAACAATCACATGCTCAGCGCAGCGCTGGTGAATGGGCTGTATCCGAAGATCTTGTCGGTGGATCCGAACAGCGGCCAGATGCGGACCATCACAAACAACCAGACCACGTCTTTCCATCCGTCATCTGTCAACTTTGGGCAACGTCCGACAAACCTGAAAGCGAATCATCTAGTGTACTTCACCTTGATGCATTCGAAACGGCTGTATGTGTGGGAAACTTCGCCGATCGACGATTTGGCTCTGGTGTTGTTGTGTGGCGACGTCGACTTCAAACTGGGTGCCAACTCGATTTTCATCGACCGGAAAATCAAGTTCCATGTCTCGCCCAGAGACACCGTCGCCCTGAAGCATCTAAGGACCAATATTGCCTCGATTCTTGCTCAGCAGTTCCGCAGTGGCGTGAGTGTTTTCGTCGATTCTCCCGTTACGCTTCTTATCATTTTTCATAGCCTCTTTCTGAGTCTCAAGTCTTGTGGAATGAGGTCGTCTCTGCCGCTTTGGGCAAATTCCCTCTCGAATCATGATCAGTACATACCAGTCATTACTTGTTGTTCGATCACACCATCAATTACATCGTGATCATATCAGTACTCAGGTTTTTCCTCCCTACCTAAAATCAGCGTCGGCTTCAATGGCGCCGGCACTCACTCGCGAGCAAGTCGCCTCCGCTCAGCTTGACGGCGACTACTCTATCAAGTCCGAGTCGACTGCCCCGAAATTGGACACTTCGGAATGGCCTCTCCTGCTCAAAAATTACGACAAACTGCTCGTTCGGTCTAGCCACTTCACGCCCATCCCATCGGGCTGCAGTCCCCTCAAGCGGGATATCCAGACATACATCAAGTTCGTAGGACAGTTTATCCCTGCTCACATCAGATTTTAACGCGGTGGTAGGTCTGGTGTAATCAACCTCGACAAACCCTCCAATCCCTCGTCGCATGAAGTCGTAGCATGGTTAAGGCGTATTCTGCGGTGTGAAAAGACCGGGCACAGTGGGACGCTGGACCCCAAGGTCACTGGGTGCTTGATTGTGTGCATCGACCGCGCAACAAGACTGGTCAAATCCCAACAGGGTGCCGGTACGTTCATCCCCCCCTTCCTGCTTCTAGAAAAGAAACGGGCTCTGAACTTGTGTAGGTAAGGAGTACGTCTGCGTGATCCGACTGCACGACGCGCTGCCCAACCCCGCCGCGCTGCCCCGCGCGCTGCAAACATTGACGGGCGCGCTCTTCCAGCGCCCGCCTCTCATCTCCGCCGTGAAGCGCCAGCTGCGCATACGCACGATCCACGAGTCCAAGCTGTTCGAGTTCGACGAGAAGCGTAACTTGGGCGTGTTCTGGGTGTCCTGCGAGGCGGGGACGTACATCCGGACGCTGTGCGTGCACCTGGGGCTCGTGCTGGGCGTCGGCGGGCATATGCAGGAGCTGCGGCGCGTGCGGAGCGGTGCGATGTCGGAGAACGACGATATCGTGACCATGCACGATGTAATGGACGCGCAGTGGGTGTATGATAACACACGGGATGGTACGTGTGCGGTCGGTGTTCAGAGTCGGGTGTGTTGCTGATGCCGCCCAGAATCATACCTCCGCCGCGTCATCCGGCCGTTGGAATGCTTGATGGTCGGCTACAAACGCATAGTCGTCAAAGACAGCGCTGTGAACGCTGTTTGCTACGGTGCCAAACTCATGATCCCTGGACTGCTGCGCTACGAGGCGGACATCGGTGTGAACGAGGAAGTCGTGCTGATGACCACTAAGGGCGAGGCAATCGCTCTCGCTGTCGCACAGATGTCGACTGTGGAGCTGGCCACCTGCGACCACGGCGTCGTCGCCAAAGTGAAGCGCTGCATCATGGAGCGCGATACGTACCCCAGGCGATGGGGTCTGGGTCCGATGGCTCTGCAGAAGAAAAAGATGGTCAAAGATGGCAAACTTGGCAAGCACGGCGAGAAAATCGACGCGACCCCGGCAGAGTGGAGTAAAGACTACGTTGACTACAACCGGGACGAGGTGCGCCGATTTTTTTTTTGCGCGTACTTCCATTGGACTCAAGGGTTCACGTTTCATTAGCCCGCCGCGGCTGGCCCATCCACGACAGCTGTTTCTGCCCCTGCGCCTGTTGTCCCGGTTGATGCTGTGATGGCCGATCCTGCCGCCGATGAAAAGGCTGAGAAGAAGCGCAAGCGCAAGTCGGAAGTCCCTGCGGGCGACGTCTCGATGGTCAGTGTCGGCGCTGACGAAGACGACGAGGCAGAGCGCAAGCGCAGGAAAAAGGAGAAGAAAGCTGCGAAGGAGGCTGCAGCAGCTGCTGGGGAAGAGGAGGACGAAGAGGCAAAACGGGAGAGGAAACGGCTAAAGAAAGAGAAGAAGGCGAGAGAAAGTGTAGGGGGAGCATGATTTTGTTGTATTACATCATGTTTCATTCTGCATTCAAGTTTATGCCTTTTCTTGCTTTTATGATCAAGAATGTATTGAGTGACTAGCACTACAATTACTAGGGTCAACCTAGACAGATAATTCCCATGTCATCAAGACAGTGAGTAGAAGATTAGTCCGTGCCAAAATTTCATGAAAGACGTCAGGAGGGAGGAGTAGGGAATCAGAGCAGGAGAGCCGAGACGGCAAAGACAGCCAGGGCAGCGACACCGCCTCCAACACGGACGGAGACAGCGCCACCAGTCGTCGAGGCCGCCGATCCCGAGGGAGCAGCCGCGCTCACAGCCGCAGCAGAGCTCACGTTCGTCTTGAACGACTTGGCAATGGTCTGGAACGCAGAGAAGTCCCGGGGTTCAACGGCATTGACCGAGAAGACCATTCCGGCCGCGCAGTCTGTCCATAATCAGCACATGGAACCGCGGAGGGATCTGCGTCGAGACTTACGGCCAACTTGTCCGCAGTAGAACCACAGCGGGTTGGTCGAGTTCACGGTGACGTTCCAGGTAGGGAAATCGGTCGCGCCGGCTAGTCATGATGAGTTGCTGGATTGAATGGATTGATGGAAGTAACACACTAGCCACGGGCATGAAGCCGGACGCAAGACCAAGAGGAGCAGACGCATTGTTGGCGTTCAGACGGTGGCACGGGTCAGCGAAGGAGCTCTGAGTGACCGTGTGGTTCTTCTGTTGGCTGGAGTGACAGGTCAATGGGCGTCTATGAGGGAACGAAGGGAAAGATCACGTACAATTGGAAGACGATGGTGTCCCGGGGAGAGGCGCTGAGCTCAGATGAGCACCTAAAAGAGAGGCCAAGACGCGCACGTACGTGATGTTGTTCGGGGTGAAGAACAAGTTGGGGCCGTTGGGTCCAGTGCCACCGACGATGACAGTGTGGACGGCACCTGCAGCAGCAACGGGAGTCGCCGCCGGCGAGTTCTGGAGGGAGGTGTACGTCGTGGTCCAGACGGAAGTCGTATCGAGCGTGATGGGAACTGTGACAACGCTTTGAGGAACAACAGGTGGGAGAGTCGTGTAGCTGTAGTCCGCAGTGCTGGTAGCCGACGCGACAGCAGTTGCGGGCGCGCTAACGGCTGCGGCCGAAGCTGAGGAAGCGGCAGCGACCAAACCGGCACCGATATCAAGAGCAGACTTCTTGAAGGTGTCGAACGTGTTGGGGCCAGACTTGGGGCAGTTGATGGCCATAATCATTCCCTTTCCACAGTGGCTGGCCGGGGTGTTCTTGGCCTCTGTTCAAAAGTTGAGTGCAGTCTCAACAGCTTTGCGCAGATTAACTCACGAGCACAGTAGATCCAAATTGGCGCGGTCTGGAGAGCCGATCAGAAGAAGATCAATGGTCGCATACGGGTCACGCACATCGTTGACTTGAACCGTGTAGGTGGGACGCGAGTCAGCAGACACATTAGCAGCAACCGGCATGCTGTTCAGCCATTAGAATCGCAGGAAATATTGGAAAACACGATCAGCACTCACAACCCGGAGGTAAATCCACCATCCTTCAACGAGCAAGGGGCCGCGAAGCTGGACTGCGACACGGTGTGGTTCTGGAGGCGATTGATAGGGTATTCAATCGGGAGAGCGAGCCAAACCCACCTTGGGGTTGAAGTGGAACACAACCTGATCTCCTGGCATGGCGTTCTGCAATAATCCAGCGCGATTACTATCCCATCACGGTCGTCGGTTGCAAATGATGGACATACCACAATCTCAGGGACGAAGACAAGGGTCCCGTTGCTCTGCGGAAAAGCCAAGATTCTCAGCAAGACAGACAGGGCTGAGAGCAAAGCCCACACACCCCTCCGACATCGACATCATAAACAGTGGCAAAGACGGCGGGCAAGAGAGCCAGGCCCAAAGAAAGAGAGGCAAACATCGCTAGCGAGGATAGAATTGGGTGGATTTTCAAAAGGAGTTCAAAGAATGTCAGGTGAACCAAGCAAAACGCTGGAAACTGTCGCCGGGAAGTTGGAGGAGGAGGGGAAGAAAGGAAAGATTGGATCAAATCTGCTTGCCGAGGCTTTTATGCGATAGCCTTTTCAGGACAATAGCGAGACTGGTCCCACTCTATTGGTTCATCACGCCAAACACCTCAGGCCTCCTGGAGAGTCTGCGTTGCTAGGCTGGTCGTCAAGCATTTACAGGACCGACATCGCTCTAATCAGTTCCATCCCACAAGATGCCGATAAGCAGAGCCCGGTACGGCCCTTTGTAGCAACGGGCTATACGCATCGAAGGCAGTTTCCAGTACGACCGAGGACTGAGAACATGTGGGGTTGTGATCTGGTGAAGGTCCGCATTTTCTGACGCCAGTTCTTGCAGGAAGGCCCTCTTCTTGAGTGATTGCCTGGCCCTTCAGACCCGGGCAACTGGGCGTCCGTAAGCAATCTGTGTCAATGAAGCCGCAAGCTCACACGCGAGACACAAACCGGCTCCGACCTCCTGCCAGCCAGTTTCCATTGAATCCATGCATTGTCGTCTCCCCTCAAATCCCAGGCTGCTCGCGTTTCTGTTGATCAAGAATCGGAATTTCTCGCACTCAGAGAGCCTTCAAGTTTGAATGAACGTGTTGCTTGTACAAGTATGCATTAGATAGTTAGGCTATACATGAATCAACACATTTGTTCCAAAAATACAGCTAAGATGGATAGAAATCGGCGGCGTTTAGAATCGGCTTCCAGCCCAGAATCCACTGGAGGCAACACCCTCAACGCCGAAATCGCCGAATCGGGTGTCGCTGTCCAATTCAGTCCCATACATCGTTCGCGAGGCTTGTCCGTCAGGTTCTCCCGGAAGTCGTGGCAGAGCCTTGAAGCCAAACGAGGCGGCCAGCTCTTCTCGCTCTTTCTCAGATGGGCGATGACTGATCACAGAAGGGTCAACAAACGACCCGTCGCGTGAGGACAGGCTCGTAACACGGGATCGCGGCCGACTTGGAGATGGTAAACCAAACGGCTCGAAAATATCCGTGCGACCAGTGTCACGTGATGTGCTAATTTGGTTTGGACCCGTGGGGGTTGGCGATGTGGGGGCTTCAGGGAAGGGAAAACTGGGCAGGGCGAATAAAGAGTCCGAAGGAGTAGATGTGAGAGGGAGGAAGGCATAATTGAATGGATGCTGATTTTCAGAGGCGTTCCGGGTGCTGGTCGTCGTTCCCGAAGAGGAGGCCCCATAAAACGCAGGCAGTCCCTCCATCGGAGGAGGAGGATCCACATAGGACTCCTCCTCACCACTATATACAGTGAAACTCGGCACTCGAGGTGGAGTGGGCACATCCTCGGCGTCCATCGCAGAATCGTCCTGCAGTTTGGGCCGTTTCTTCGTCGGGCGCGTCACTAGTTTGGCGAGTTCATCAGCGTTCAGCTGGCCCTCCTCGCCATCTTCAATGACCCCTGTGAGATCGCTTGAAGAGGAATCTCGATGTCGCTTCCCAAGCAGTTGCGGAGCAACACCGGGCGCAGGCATGTCACTTCTTTTGATCATCCCCGCTGTGCGTGAATTCGAAGAACTGGACATGTTGGAATCGTTCTCACTGTATCGAGTCAGATCATCGGGTGGACTGGGAGAAGGGAACTCACCTTCCACCTCCAGAAGATGCATCAGCCACGCCAGTGCCTGGTGCATGATCGGACATCTTCCACTGCTCGAACTCGGCTCGCAGTGAGGCGATTCCCACAGACTGTGCGGATAATGTTTCGAGTTGAGCAGCGAGACTGGAGACCTTCTCCTCCAAGAGTTTAACGTCGGCGACCTGCTTATGCAATTCGGCGATTTCTGCTTTCAGTCTAGGAACTTGCTCAGCTTCCGTTTTGAACGATTTTAGTTGCTCAAGAATAGGTGCAAGCTAGGAATAGACATTCAATGCAATGGCATCAGTTGAAAACAACGGAACGCACCTGATCGGTGATCACGCTTGCAATCTGTTCCCTCCGTGTCTCCGCCGACTCAAGCTCGTGTAAAGATTGTAGGATTATTTCCTTCGATTGTGGTTTGGATGGTCCAGCTGAACAGTGTTTGAGATGACGGCCTCTCATGTACAAACAAAAAACCCACCCTCAGGCTGTTCTTCGTCGCCTGCGAGAGAGTCAGGGTGAAGGACACGGGGACTGGACTAATCATAACGCACCTTCCTCAACGATAGTCTCCTGCACTGGCTTGGCTATCTTGATACTCTTCCCACGTTTCCCTTTGGCGATGCTCATGGACTTCGTCACCGCGCGTGCGCCGCTTCCTCCGGCCACTACTGGCCGTCCCATCCCAAGTCGAGTTTGTGTCTCCTTTGCTTTGCGAGTCCGAGTCGGCATGGGCTCCGGCTCCGGCTCGGGGTGATTCTCGGTCTCCTCCACGTTCGTACCCTGTGACTCTGATTCGTCTTCGTCATCCGTGTCGTGAATAATCACAGAGCTGATTCGGGGTGCGGTCGATCGACTGCTCTGCCTCGTGGAGACGCTGCGGCGTGCTGCGGGGACTACCGCAGGAGGTGCCGGTATGGGGACCATCCGGGGATTCGCGTTTCTGACAATATTCGGTTATTGAGCTGAAAGGATGCTCCCACAAGTACCTCGTATCCAATAGCAATTCGATCAAGGCCTCGGTCTTGAGGTTTGCTTTGACGCCATAGTCCTAAGATGTGCTTAGGCTTCAAAGAAAGGAAAGCGAGGCCGGTATCTACTTTGCAGAGCTTCTGTAGCTCTGGGCGTTTCATCTCCTGCATCTCTTTACGCGTCGGTAGCACTGGCATCGCGTTGCTCAAGTCGTCTCGTGTTCGTTGTTTTCGTATGTGAGTTTCGGAGTAGAGTCGAGGAGCGAGTTTCAGAGCCAAATTGGGACTTCGAGCAGAGATTGAGCGCTGAGGCAATCGTAGGTGGTCTTCAAGGTGAGCGTTGACGGCGAAGAGGACAATCGCTGACCTCACGTGTTTGGTTCGACGGGCGTGGGAGTTCTCATAATTGTTAATCGCCGTTTAAGTCTTTGACTGAGCACATGACCGAACATGTAAGATGACCTCATCATCTTTTGAGCTCTGGAAGCGTTCGAGTGTGAGGCGTACATGAACTACACCGATAAACATGGTCGAATTTTGCAAAACAACTTGAAGCAGGTTCGGCCCCGAGAAAGTTGACAACATATATGCTCCCCTGAGCGTGCCGGCCCGGATTCTGCCATCGGACTTCGGACCGACTTCGGCTACTTACCCCAGTTCTCGAATTCTGAGCGTGCGATCTCTCTTCCTACCCACTATCATGCAGTCGGAAGGACTTTCTCTCGAGCAAGTTGCAAAGCACGACAATCCCTCTGATTGCTGGGTCATAATTAGCAACAATGTCTACGTGCGTGTCGCCCAGCTCACCGCGCAGCGCGTAACTAATTTTGAACAGGACGTGACAGATTTTCTGCAGGTACGTGCCCTCACCGGTGAGGTTTCTTGTTATTGGACCTTCCTAGGAACACCCTGGAGGCGCCAAGATCATCCTCAAGTATGCTGGTCGAGATGCGACGAGCGCATACGTCCCCATCCATCCCCCCGACGCACTGGAAAAGAACCTCCCCCCGTCGAAGCACCTGGGACTTCTGTCGGTCCACGCTGCGAAAACAGTCGCAGACACGCAGAAGAATCGCAAGAAGACAAAGGATGAATTGCGCGTCGAAGGAGCGCTGGCTCAGCGTCCACCGTTGAATCGAATCTTGAATTTGACGGACATGGAGGCAAGCCGGTCTGTACTGGCTTGCGTATTCTTACTAATATTTGGGAAGCGAGTTGCACGGAATGTTCTGTCACACAAGGCAGAGGCATATTACGCTTCTGCTGCAGATGACCACATCAGTACGGGCCCATCGGAACCCAGATCAGAACCTGACGTATTGAACATCCCACAGCATTCGTGGAGAACGCGCGCGCGTTCTCGCGTTTCTTCTTCAATGCCCGGGTCATGAAGCCCGTCGGTACATGTGACCCGTCGACGACTATCCTCGGTTTCAAGTCATCCATTCCGGTGTTCGTGTCGGGTGCGGCGCTGGCGAAGCTAGGTCATCCTTTGGGTACGTGGCTCATGTTTCTGCTCCACCACGAATTCATCAGTTTTTAGGCGAGGCCAACATTGCGAAGGGAGCAGGCACAACCTCCATCATTCAAATGGTGTCTTCGAACGCATCCATGTCTCCCGCTGAGATCATGGCCGCCGCCCAGCCATCGCAACCTCTCTTTTTCCAACTGTACAAACACTCGGATGACGCTACTGCCGAAAAGCGTGTGCGAGAAGTCGAAAGACTCGGTTACAAGGCGATCTTCCTGACCGTCGACGCTGTGGTGCCAGGAAATCGAGAGAAAGATTTGCGCAGCCCGTGGATTATGGAGGATCAGGAGAAAGGGTCTCCGACATATTACAAGGAGGGTGTTGTGGACGACGCTCCATTTTCTTTTGGAACTGCCGGCGCACTGATCGTCAACGACGATCGTGACATGACATGGGAGAGAGTGAGCACTTTGCAGACCTATGCTGTCTTCTATCCTGATGGTCGCTTGAAGACAATTCCTTGGTTGCGTAAGGTAACCAAATTACCCATCGTGATAAAAGGTGACCCTCCTTCATTGGAGTTGAGATGTCTGAATGACTTACTTCTTGCTTAGGCATCCAATGTGTTGAGGTTTGTTCAGCAGATTCCATGCACTGACTAGGTCTCAAATTGTACTTCAGGATGCCGTTCTGGCCGCGGATGCCGGTGTCGATGGAATCCTCTTGTCTAACCATGGAGGTCGGTATTGTTGTGTTGTGATTCCACACTTCTCTCGATGCTGAATATGATTGCAGGCCGTCAGCTGGAATTGTATGTCCTCCGCACCATCAGCTATCTGTGCTCATGTTCCGCCAAGCTCCTTACCGCCTCTCGAGGTCCTGTATAAGCTGCGAAAGGAGAGGCCCGACGTCTTTTCCAAACTAGAAGGTGCGCTTGACCCTCTATCTTAATGAAATTGTCTGACAAACCCGTTAGTCTACATTGATGGTGGCATCACAAGGGGAACAGAGATAATCAAGGCACTGTGCTTGGGGGCAAAAGCTGTCGGATTGGGACGTCCCTTCCTGTACGCCCAGAGTGTGAGTGCACGATTTACAGTCTGGCATCACCCATGATTTACTATTGGCAGGCATACGGAGAGGCTGGTGTGGTGAAGATTGTTCAGATACTGGAACGCGAGATCAAGACCACCATGATCGGTCTAGGTGTCAAAAGAGTCAGCGAATTGAGACCGGAGATGGTCGGTTATTCCACTTGCCGCGATCGAGCAGACTTCCTCATTCGTCCACAGATCGAGCGAGTGGATTGGGAACCTCTTCCCCGAGCGAAACTGTAATCGATTTGTCCTGGAGGGAGTTTTAGAGGGATACGCACGGATACCACATTACTTCATCTCACTATCTTGCTCATTTCGAGCTCTCGGATCATCTTCTCAATATATGGAATGTTGATAGGCCCCTCGATCCCAGCCACGGGGTCCCACTGTTTTTGTTCAAAAACAGCCCATTTCCACCTCTTGCGAGGCCGTTGAACAAACCGCACGAACTTTTTCAGATGCTGCGCACCAAGAATCTGATGAGCTCCTTGTCTAGAGGATAAACTTCCTTCCACTCGTCTGAGAACATTCCCAGACAAAAGATGCGATAGGAGTCCAGCGCATATGCACCAGTGCCCGGCAAGTGGCTGATTGCAGTCGGCTGGTATTTTCGGCGTTTTCGGGGAGAGACGTGGGGAGAGTGTGCTCTGGACGTTCTTTCGTCGTGTATCGACGGTGGGTCTTTCAGGTAGGCACGAGAAAGGTCGACCAAGCGTTTGGTACGAACATTGTACGTGCCTAAAGGCCGCAGCAAATCCACGAGTTCATCTTCAGGAGCTATAGATGTAAATAAGAGTTTATCGGCCTCATTCCAATCCACAGGGCCCTACCTTGTGACAAGAGCCAAGGCGTCGGCCATTTTGACAAGATCTTATCGAAAACGGAGATCGCAAGCTTGCCTGCGGTCTTATTCAGAAGAGTCACTGCAACGAGAAGCTTCCAGGGGTTTTCTGCGCAGGATTCTGGTCCAGATGTTTTCAGTCCCCACTGATCGTTCGTATTAAGGCGACCTTGCCTTGAATGAGCTGAGGTTTCAGTTTCGCAAGCGTCTGCAACAATTCCCCCATGACATTCGCACCGAAGTGGTCTATATTTCTTGGTTTCTTGTGCAGCTTTGAGAAATATGGAGACGTCACGACAGACAAGCAGCGTTTTCTTGGGGGAGTCACAGGCAACATGATCAAAGTGCTATGTTGAAATGGAGGAGCCAGCTATGACATCGATCAAGGTCCACGTGATCGCGTTGAATCCTCGAGTTGTCCACCCCTTTGACAGTCATTTCGAAGTGCACTCGAGATTATGGGTTTTTGCAGACGCTGTGGGAACATCGTTACAGGAGACCGTTGTAGATGTGGTGGACTGGCAGTTGGTGAGTCATCTGCCGTTCGACCGCGCGCAGACATTGATATTTGGCAGCCCCCGTTGTCCCGTGGAATCAGAGCAATCCGAAGGAGAAGACTCAAGATCGATGGTCAAAGACCTATGTTTCGAAGGATAGGTCTCCGAGTCCAACACGGGCGGACTCGCCGACAACTGCCACGACCTCCACCAGTACCACACCTGCCCCGAGTTCATCGCCTACGAAACGATTTCCTCGGCCGATGTCGCAGTCCTCCCAGAGTCCGCTCAGCAACCGGGTTTCCGCATACATAACAGCGACGACCACCGGACCGCAGTCCTCTCGTCCTCCCTCTCCTCTCAAGTATTCGTCACTGGCCGCAGCGGAATCGGGCATCTTGCCGTCCCTTCACGACAACGGCGCCACACTAGCCAAAGTGTATGGCTCAGTACTGCAACCGAGGGAAACACTGCCCGTGCAAGCATGTGCGCGCTGTGGCTCTCATTTCTCCCCAACGGAGTCCACTATTTATCCGGATCCTAATGACGCCACTGGAGGAACACCGCGGTTCTTATGCCGGAACTGCTTCGTGAATAATGGAGGGTCCAGGGGTCCCTGTGCTGAATGCTCAAGGCCAGTGTTGATCCTCAAGTCGGATGGTGGTTTTGTTCATGCCGGGGACCGATTTTGGCACAAGAAGTGTTTCATGTGCGATGGTGCGTTGTAAGCATCTCTTTGGTGAGTATGTGCTAAAGCCAGTCAGGGTGCGATAAATACATCGGTGACTCACCGATGGTGGATTTGCTTGGTCGTCCGTCCTGTTCAGATTGTTTCGACACCTGTCTGGAGAGAGATTCAACCCCCAAGAAGAAGAAGCGACACAGTACGAGCAGTTCTACTGTCGATCGGAATCTGGGCGGAATGGCCAGTCACTCGAAGAGCAAGAGTCGCGAGGGCAGTCCTGCGCTGGAGGAACTGGAGCAACGTTTGGGTATAGTGAGGACGAGGGAGGCTAGCCCCGCTTTGGAAGAGCTGTCCCAACGTCTGAGCATGGTTGGCAAAGAATCTCCTGGAAGGAGTCCCCAGCCCTCCAGATACTCTACACCTGGCCGCGAGGACAGTCCGTTTAGGCGCTCACGAACGAAGAGTGACCCTCTCGCTGAATTCAGTCCAAGTCCCAGTCGAAGATACACTGGCCCTCAAATGGATGGGCCCCCTTCGCCTTTGAGATATGCGTCCAAGAGCCCCAGTCCCACTCGCGAAAGCCCTGGCCCGTCTGAAGACGCTATTGCAGAGATGAAACGCAGATTCTCCAACGGCCCAGTCTCGACGTCGCCTTCAGGCTCTCCTCTTCCCAAACCACGACTGCGGCACGCTCGGTCATCAGGCCGTCTGTCCAGCTCTGCATCATCTGTTCCTGATCTCACATCCGACTCCTCCGATGCGACGTCGTCTGCTGGGCCAGACTCGCCGCCCAGGGGCAGCGGTAGTGTTTATGACGTGGATCCATACAGTGCTGCCAAGGTGTTTACATCTGGATACGGATCCAGGTACACCAGGGAACTGAAAGACGACCACGACATCATTGTGGAGGAGACCAAGAGCCAATTGAACACCCCAGCACATACACCCACTCACACACCCAAATCGACCGTCAAATCCAAGTCCACTCCTAGCAAGAGTCCCATTCCTTTCAACGCCAGGTCCCCGAAGGGACTGTCTGTCACACCGAGCAAGCTAACGAGTTCCTCCAACTGCTTCAAATGTCGCCGGTCTCTATTCTCGGTCGAGGAGGGCGGGCGATATGTCACCGTACCCGACGACGTGACCGGAGAGCCGCTTACTTATCACACTGATTGTTTCGTTTGTGTGGTTTGTAGTCTCCCTTTCAAAGAAGGGGCTGTTGGCCAGGCGCTATTCGTCAAAGGTCCACTCGGCCCTTCGCATGTTCAAGTTTGTGGCCGGAACATTGATGCTGTCGTCTGGCTGATCTCTTCATCAGTGTGCTCCCCCAGAGAAGGTTGCGATCCGTACTGTGCCAACATCCAAGCTCCCTGTCTCCATCTTTTCGTCCCGATCACCTCACAGCTCGCCTCAAAGCAAGACACCCGAGGTCAAGACAGCCTCCATCGCCACGTCGGGTAGGTTTGACCGCCCACCTGTGACAGCTCCAGCCAGCACAACCCCAATATCGTTCCCGCGCTTCGGCGCCCCGAATGCTTGTCCTGGGTGTCACGTTGCTGTCTCTGTCATGGAGCGCGGTGTTGTACAAGGCCCACAAGGATCCCGATGGCACGCATCCTGCCTTGTTTGTGGTGGAAAGAAGCCGCCTAGCAAAGGATGGCTGGGCCGAGATGAACGAAAGAAGGGTGTCCCCGGTTGCGGCAAGAAGTTGGACAGTGCCGCCAAATCCGACATCAAGGGCATGGTTTGGTGCAGAGAATGCTCAGTGAGTGCATCGTGATTGATGCGCGCCCTTCATCTCATCCACGCTCTTAGCTTCTGTTGCCTCTGGAGATGAGAGGTTCACCCCATGGCTCGCCGACGAGGGGCCCCATTGTTCCCTCCAACACCGGCTCAAGCAGCAAGATCACAGCACAGATGACCGGAACCACGACGATCGCCCGGCAATTTACAGGGCACAGCATGCACAGTCTTGACTCTCGCAGCTCAAGCCCTATCAAAGGTCTCACTCATCAGTGGACTGGGCCTTCGCGCAGTATCAGCCCTACCAAAGGTCTCGGCGGAGGCCCGCTGAACCCAACCCGCAGCATCAGTCCCACCAAAGGACAGACGCTACGCCCCAGGCCGAAAAGTGTCGTTGGCATCCGTAATACTAATATTGTACGTCAAATGACTGGCGGATCCATCCTGTAGAATTTTCTTGGACTAAATCATCTGGGATCTGTACTTACTCATGCTGAAACTGAATGCGATGTTTACATCTGTTTCGAGTTTGTTAACTTGCATCGGACTGGACGGCCACAAGCAGACGTTGGTTCCCATCCCGGCTTTTTCTTTTACTTCAAGGTAATTATGGATCTATGGTCTCATGAATCGCATTACCTACCGCCATCGGCATCGGATCTGGTGGCTCTATCGACTCTGGAGTTCCCGTCGCCTATCCTTGTTAGCCTCGACGACACATCATCAAGTGGTTGCATCCCGATTCTACTCGACGAAGCTTTGTTCGATGAGATTTGGAACGAGTCTGCCTCTGTTCACAGTCTCAGCTCGTTGCCAGAGCAAGGATCGTCGCGCAGTTCTGTTGGCACCTTTGGCCCACAGCTTCCTCGGAGCAATACGGCGCTCTCGCTATCCATCTCGCCTTTGGAAACGTTGTCTCGTTTGGCCGCAAGAACTTCACTCGCAATGTTTAGTGACAAGCTCATGGCTCTCAATCCCTCGCAAACTACATCCACGGTACTGGACCTTCCGAACTCTCCATCTCGCATCTCTATCTCGCCCACGAGTATCCCCAGCAGTGCTTCACTACCCCCCAGTACATCTACCATCCCAATCCGACGCCCAGAGCGCCAACCGACATCTAGCCCTCGATCGCCGGTTCTGATTCCGCATGTTGGCATGTATGGGGAGATGCGCATTCCTGTGAATTTGCTGTGGCTCAAGGACATCGCGATTGAACTCCTCCTTGATCAAGAAGGTTTCAGAACTGTGCATCCTGTCTTCAAACTCGCTGGAATCTCCGATTACGTTCGAGGATGGGATCAGCCAGTTGAAGGCGGGTACGCTGTCTTCAGGCCTGTGACTCGTGACGCATATAGGTTTCACTACGCACCGCTAGACGGGAATCCGATGCTTCGAAGACTTACAGTCAACAGCGATGATTCACACGAATACCTGTCGCGTCAGGCAACTCTTACCATCAAGTCAAGTTGCGTCTACACCGTTCAGGGCTGCGAGTCTTGTCATCTTCCGTCGGCGTACTTTGCTGCCAATACGTCGCACTCGGACGGTGCTCCTAAGCTGCGTTGGAAGTTTGAATATCTTGTAGGTGACCGCCTGGATTCGGGGAAACTAATCGACGGCGAGAAAACTGTGGCGCCGCTGACCTTCGTCTGTTCTCCTTGGCTCCTGCATTCCAGCCAGGCGAAGAAGATCAAGCTCATGCGAATTGTGAAGAAGACCGTCGCTTCAAAGTTGGTCGCTGAGAAGGTCGAGCCTCCGACATGGCCTGTCCCTCCGCTTCCAAGCCCTGTCCTGCGTTCCAATCATCTCTGGCCCCTCCACCGTCGCGTTCACTCTCACTCAGGCGATCAGAAAATGAAAAAGAAACCGGAAACACCACGTGCCGACTACCCCTCGGCCCGACGCGACGGAAATGCCGTTCAGACTCGAAGAAGAAGGGCGTCGTCAGCGGGAGACGAGATGCGTCCCGGGAAGCATATTGTCTCGCCCGCCAAACTCGCTCGATTACTCGACCAGGAAAATGTGCCTCCTTTGCCTGTAGGGCTGGGTCCAGCACCTCGTCGTTAATAGTTGAGGATCAAAGGATCGATGCATCGTAATCTACACAATCTAATCTAATCTCCATGACATCACATGGGCTGCGTGTCGTGCTCGGTCAGCACTGTCATTTCGTGCACTGCTTAAACGACGAGCAACACCTTTCCCTTGTACCATCGACTGCTGCCAGTCAATTATCGCGAAACCTCTTTCGCCATGTCCATTACGCACCTCAATTCTGTCTCTGAGCTCAACAGCCACCTCGCAAAATCAAAAGACAAACTCTCTGTCAGTGGCTAACCGATAGCGCCTTGCGCTGCTCTGAGGCCCTAGCCAGGTGATAGACTTCCATGCCACATGGTGTGGGCCCTGCCATGCCATCGCACCTGTCTACGAGAACCTCTCTCGCCAATACCCCAATGTGAACTTCTTCAAATGCGATGTGGATGCTGCGAAGGACGTGGCGCAGCTCTATTCCGTCTCTGCCATGTGATTCGTCTTCACGTTCATCACGATCCGTACTCACAAAGCTGCCAGGCCTACCTTCATCTTCTTGAAGGGCTCGAGCAAAGTTGACATGGTCAGAGGTGCGAATAAAGCGTAAGTCTTCGTCGTGTCCTTGCTTTTTCGTGTGATGTATCTCTATCAAGGGCGCTGGAATCCGCCTTGAAGAAACATTCATCTGGCTCGTCTGAGTCCTCAGCCGCGTTCTCTGGCAGAGGACAAACCTTGGGTGGAGCTCAAGGTCCCGTGGACATCTCCGGACAAGCCTCTGCTGGATTAAACCAAGCCAAGACCGCTTTCGCGGGTCTCGATCCTCAATTGGGTGTTTTCCTTGCGCTTGTAGGTGCATACTTCGTGTTTTGTTATATTTTGTGATACAGTGCTATCGTTTTCGAGAAAACAACTACATCTGCGGAAACTTGACAGCTGGAATCACCATCCTAGTTTCGCAGAGGCTTGTCTGCCTGCTTCTTCTTTGGCCTGCTTTTGGCTCCTACCTGTGCCCTCGCCCTGAGGGACACCGTCCACTAGGATCAATCATCAGTCAGCTTCGCGGGCAAAGCAAGGAACGCATACAACAACAAGTGACTTTCCACAGAGGCTGATGAGATGGACCGGAAAGTTGCACAGCCGGATAAGTGACTTTTATTCCCTTTTGGGAGGCAGTCTGGTTAAAGATGAGGAGAGAAAAGTTCCCTTCTACCGCTTTGGGAGCTGTCTGTGAGGCTGGACTGTTGGGTAACGGGGGCGCCGGACTATCGGGTGCTAGAGGCGAATCATGGTCCTCTGAGGCCGACGATGGAGACATGGCTTTGACAAAATTATTGGGCTGAGCGTCTGGATCTACGAGAGCGGTGATCCAAGAAATTACGTGGTTCAATCCATTTCGGTGCTGGAGGGCGCCGGCATAGCTCTTGAAGAACTTGCGCATTTCCTAGACGCGACGGTTTTATATTCATGTCGGCCGATCATGATATGGGGCTTACCTCAGGCGAATTCAAGATATCAACAGTGTTAGGAGCAGCTTTGTACTTCGATTTGATGTTATAGGCGGTCAACCATTCCCGCAGATTCTCATCCGAGAGCACTGTGGCAATCGATGCTTTCGCCTCAAGTCGGAATTCATTTGGCAATCGAAAGAGAATGAATGTGTACACACACACCTGTATCTCTTCTACATCCAACATCGGACGTTTGTTGAAGAAATGGAACGTGAGGGCCATTTGGATAGCCTTCTCCCCCAGTTCAATCAAACGACCAGTATCCCCATAATCGATATTCCGCTCATCTCCCATCTTGAGGGACTCGTGCGAGTAAACGTCCAGAATAATGTCGACATCGCCTGTGATTTTGGGAAGAGGCGGAACTGGTATAGATTAGCGCACTGATAAAGTGGTCGGAGTGGAGGGCTAACCCATATTGACGTAAGAAGAAAGCTGCGGGCGCTCGATACAAGAGTCGCTTGTGCCAAGTGCAATCTAGTGCAATTAGACGCGGACCACGATCACGTGCACATACCGCACTGCGTTTTCTTCTAACGCTCATGTCTTCCAGACCACCTCTGATACCCGAACAATACCTCGATATCCCCTCACAGGCACGTTCCATTTTCCATGCTCATACCAGACAGGCTGTAACGTATGCACAGAGGCTGTATTTGCTCAGCCTCGGCTTCCTGTGCCAGGCAGTGAAGGCATTCGACTTCTTGTGGTACTTGACATCCTCCCCAGATTCGCTGTCCCTTTTTCGAAAATGGCTACTGTTTGATGTTGCATATTGCCTGGCACTGACGCGCTTACGAATACCCCGGCTGAACTACAATCGTACCGTCGTCTTTCTGCAATTACTGCTCATCGTCGTCTTTGACGGGCTGATGTTTGGTGGAATCACGGTCAATCTGGGGGGTGGGAGCAGGGAATCTGGGGTGGGAAACTCAAGTGCGTACTCCTGTGCCGTACACGCTGAGTGGCGCTCAGACGCGTCAACAGACTTACCGGACACGTTGAGCATGGTTGGAATGCTGTCCATGCTGTCTTTTGGACTGCTCGGTCCTGAAACCTTCGAGTCTAGAGACTCGCATCTGCTCGGGCAGCACACGATTCGGATGTCTCCCATCAGCACTGCGCGACTGAATCCACAAAGCTCGACATTTTGTCTAGCGCAACCTGGAGACTTCGTGCTCATTCCTGTCCTGCTCAACAACACGGACATTTCGAGCTTGAAATATAGTTTGACGCCTCTTGGGTTCGACCCAGAGAAGGGGACCGACAAGGTCGAGAAGTTGTCGCTGTCTCTGAAAGAACTCAAATCCATCGAACAAGCACGCCTGGAGGCGACGCGACCATCAGCTATTGCGCGCCGAGATCAGGAAGAGGATTACGACGAGTACGCAGATGATGACGGGGACACTGCTGATGACTCTAGCTCGGCCTCATCGCTGCAGAAAACGCAGTCCGTTGTCCACATCAAACTTTCCAAATACGGAACCGTTCGGCTGGAGCAGGTCATGGATTCTTCGAACGTAGAGGCCCGGCTAGGATACTCTGCCGAGGCAACTGTTGTTCCCTGTCCACAGGTTCGGTTCCTCAAGGACACTAGTCCCGAGGTCCGATGCGCGGGACAAAACCAGGAAACCGAGCTTATGATCGAAATCCGGGGAGTGCCGCCACTGAGCCTTCGTTGGTTTAAGGTCCACAACGAGAGACCGGAGCACTTTATCGTGGAGGGTATTGATTCGGACCTGAGCAAGGGAACCGGGAAGGGCATCGTACAAAAGGGGAAGCCGCAGACGCTCAAGGTCCCGCTCTCTATCTCCCTTGCGGCTGCCGGACGTTATCTCTATGCTCTCGAGGAGATCGTCGATGCACTGGGTAACATCGTACGTTTAGAGATCCCGAATCTCGACCCATCTGCCCCCAGCACGTCCACGACGCGTTCTTTCAATGTCTTGAGGCGGCCTTCGGTGTCGTTCAAGCACTGCCGTCCGGGCTCTCCGGCTTCGCTTCTAATTGGATCACAAGCGCAACTCTCAATTTCGACCAATGATGCGGATTCGTTGGACGCGCCTTGGGACGTGTCGCTTTACTTCAAGCCAACGTCGGAAGATAAGAAAGTGCATCCTTGGAAGAAGACCATCTCGACTGAGGGGGGACGCCGGGATGTGGACGTGACCGCAACCGTACCTGGAGAGTACATCATTCAGGGCGTGAAAGGCAAAGTGCGTGTCTGCAATACAATCGTCTGCTACCATTCTCACAATTGATAGTGGTGTGAAGGCGATGTATTGTCTCCCGATACGTGCACTGTTATCGAAAAGCCCAAGCCGGCGGTCGAGATCGAATGGCAAAAGATCCACGAATGGTGCGAAAGTTGTCACTCTTGTTGATCCCGGATTCACATTGGCTGCAGTTCTGGTGAAACAGGAGTATCTGCCGATTTGACTCTCCACGGAACTCCTCCGTTCATCGTCTACTACACTGTCCAGCGAGACTCGGAACCTCCCGTCGAACAAAGGCCCGAGCAGATCGCCACTTCTCGCGGGAAACTCTCGATCCAACCTGCCCAGGCTGGTCGCTACACTTTTACCGTCTCGCAGGTCAGCGACGCCAATTATCGCAGAGTCCCGGTCAACGGCCCGAGCATTGTACAAGCCATCCACCCGCTTGCATCTGCGTCGTTGATTGGGCCAAACAGACGGACTCTGAGCAGCTGCGCTGGGAACATGGTCGATGTCGATGTTGAGCTAGGTGGTACCGGGCCTTGGGCATTGGACGTTCGAGTTATCACTCCGAAAGGATCGGAGACTCTCCAGATTCGGGATATCCTGACAGCCAAGAAAAAGTTGCAAATCCCGGTGCCTGATGAAATCGACCGAGTTGGCGGGACCTTCGACGTCGATCTGGTTAGTGTGGAGGATGTCTACGAATGTAAGAAACCTGTGACGGCTTCGAGAGTTTCGTACAGCGTGCGGCGCGTCAAGGTATGGCTATTTGAAAGCTGCAATGGTGACATCGGCTGACCTTATTTCAGCCCACAGCTCGATTCTATGGAGACAGTGTGACCATCTTGGAGGAAGAGAAGGCCACCCTGCCTTTACGACTCACAGGAGATGGGGTCCGTCCATCCATCCAACCTTTCTTACCATATCCTGATATCTTTCCAGCCTTGGCGACTGAAATATCGTCGCGACGAAAGCGGCCAGTTGCAGTCAGCCATGCTGCGCAGCGCGAACGATGCTTTGACCGTCACTGAAGCCGGCTTGTACCGAATCCTCGAAGTATCCGACTCTCAATGTCCCGGCTTCGTCGAAGAAGAATCGTCTACTTTCCATGTCAATTGGGTGCCTCGTCCCTCCGCAAAGTTGTCTGCCGATACATCAGCAGCTGCGAGATATGAATCGTACAACGGCTCGCACATCCTAGCTCCGATCTGCGAAAATATGGATGGGCATATCGATCTTGACTTGACTGGTCTGTCAGCCCTGCTTTATCCGACCCAGATCTAACCTTCATCTCAGGGAGACCGCCGTTCCAAATCATGTATAACATTGCGCAGGACAACCAGAACGGCGGAACCAAGCTGCTTGGTCAGCCGACCTTCAGCAGCATCCAGCCGAGGACACGGTTTGAGTTGCAGACTTCGAGCCCCGGGAGGATATACTACGAGGTCAAGCAGATCGGGGATGCATCTTATCCTCTTGCAAAGCACAAAAACGCTATAATCCCTCGCTCGCAGCGACTGCTTTTCGAACAACAGGTCAACATGCGACCGGCTGCGCGTTTCAGAACAAGGAACCGCATGTCTTACTGTTTGAATGATGTGTTCATTGCCCAAGACCCGGTCTCGCTTGATGGACTCGTCTTACTCGAAGGCTCGCCTCCCTTCCGACTCGAGTTGTCCGTCAAAAACTTCGGCACAAGCCATGTCGAGCACGTGACTATGGAGACATACGACTCCTCTTTCAAGCTGAACCTGCCATCGTATGAGTTCAAATCTGTTGGACCACATCTTGTGGTGATCGAATCGGTCTCTGACGCGTCCAACTGTCCGCAAGCACCTCTCGATCCACTTTACAGCTCAGTTTGGGTGGACGTGGCTGAGACCGCAGCAATCATCCCACTTGACCGCAGGGAGCATTACTGTGTTGGGGAAGTCTCCACCTTCCAGCTCGAAGGTCTTTCGCCGTGGACAATCTGGTCCGTTGAGTCTCTTGATTCCACGAGTGATCGTTAAACGACAGCAGGTACACGATGAATGGCAAGTCCCACTCGCAAGAAGTAAAGTCCTCGCCATTCTCGATGGTCCAACAACAACCCGGAGAGTTTGCGATCAATTCCATTGCCCATCAACAAAACATGTGCAAGGCGGTGGTCACAGACTTGCGCATCCAGGTTCACCCGCTGCCATCGGCGCAAGTCGGACATGGAAAACGAGTATATCAAGATATCCACGAGGGCGATCAGGCCGAGATCTTGTTCACCCTCGTCGGAGAACCTCCCTTCACGTTCACCTATCAGCGCGCAGAGCCCAGCCAGAAAAAGGGCGGCAAGGCAGGCAAAGTCCTCGAAACGCACACCGTCTCGAAGGTGATGAACCATGAGTATTCCATCTTCTCGGCAATGGAAGGTTCGTGTGCTATCGTAAACTCTCACTCCAGTACCACTGACTCCGAGAATGTAGGAACCTGGACAATCACATCGATCGCAGACCGGTATTGCAGGTATCCTCAGATCCAGACAGATCACAATCCTGAAAAACAAAGGCGGTAGCCGCCCCTTACGACGCTTGTAATATTATCTATCTCAATTTTGCATCGCATGGTTTTTGCATGAGCAGGATGTCTTGTTTGATTGATTGATTGTACACTTTATTCACGGCTATGCTCGTCGCGGCCTTAAACGGGTGCCGAGGAGATGTACCACCACTTGGACACTGCGAAATGTTGAAGGATCAAGGTAAACACAGGCAGAAAGTAGTGCGCACCAGAAGCGTCGATGGGGGCAGCCGGCTTGCGCGAGTCAACTGGGAGATCAGTGTACGACGGGTCGTTGCGCTGGATGAAGCCGGGCGAGTTCTGAACAGTGATGTTCTTGCTGCGGCCAGCGTCAGCGAGACAAGCACTGTCTTGATCGAGATATGCCTACGTGGAAATGCCACCCGCAGGGCTTTCACCGAGAACGAGACGGCGCCAAGCCTCATGGCACTCGTGGATGATCTCAGTGGCGTACTTCTTGTTCTTGGCCTCTCCAGAGAAGGCAAAGGTGTTCTCCGGCTTGCCATCGGGAATCTTGTAGATCCTGGACGGTTTTTCGGGTCAGAAACGCGTCCGATGCACCGACCGGTGAAAACAAAACTCACCGGAACCACTCGTTGGTCGCCCGAATCAAGCCGGGCAGGTGGCGCTCGACGTCCTCGATGTCGTTGAGCTTCGAGGCGAGGGGGTCCTGAACGTCAACGACAATGACTTTCCAGTCGGTCTCGCCCTCATCGAGCAGCGCCATGATTCCGAGAACCTTGACCTGCTTGACCTGTCCGACGTATCCGACCTGTTCACCGATCTCACAAACATCGAGAGGGTCGTTATCTCCCTGGGCCTTGGTCTCCGGGTTCGACGCGGACGGGTCCTCCCAAGTCTAAGCAAGGGGATGAGAAAAGTCGGATCAATTAGTATCAGTCGAGTCCAGCGCACTTGGGGGAAGGCTCCGTAGTTCCAGATGTATCCGTGGTGCGGGAAGCAGTTGCGAACGAAACGCAAGCGTCCTTTCTTGATGTCCTGCTTGATAGGGTTGAATGGCTCCTCTTTGGAGATCTCCATCTTCGCGTTCGTCCAGCGGGGGACTTCAACGATCATGTTGAAGATGCCGTTGCTCTGGTCAGCGAAGAGGGGGATATCGTGGAAGGGGGACACGATAGAGCCGTTTTGCTCGATGAAGACGCGGTGCTCTAGATGTCCGCGATTAGATGCGGTGAGGAGGAACGACAGCGATGGACCTACCCAGAGTGTTGGCCGCGCCGACAAGGCGGGCACCATACTCTGTACCACGATCAGCTTCATCGCAATGTACATTGGCGACACGTACGGGATGCCATAGTGCTTAGTTGGCGGTTGAGAGAGGAAAGCCTGCGAGCAATATTTGCACTCATGGATCGCACCAAACAAGAACTAAATAAGCGAAGACACAAATGTCGAAAGTTTCTTGTCGCGTCGCTCGCGTCACTCTCGCGATGGCTGCACTAATAACCATCTATAATGTGATTCTAAGCTAAACCGCCTTCGGCTAGAATTCCCTGCTTCAGTTGCCTTCGTCGCCGGCCTTTGGAAAATTCCTTATTGAAGTCTAGTCTCAGCAGTAACCGTTCCACATGTCTCCGCACCCCTCCGTCCGGACCCTTCAGCGCCTTCGACGCGTTGAACATCGTCTGGTTGGCCATACTGGAGTTCAGGAGGACTGACTTTGTCGCATCCGTCCCAGTTGCCGTGAATGCCTGCTGCGATGTGGACATGGAGAGCTGTTCATAGAAGGACTCTAGTAGATCCTGGAAAGTCTAAAGGATGCATGTGAGTGCGATGGATTCGGGAGTGACAGCCGTTACTTGCATCGTTGATCTCCGCGACCACACTTTGTCGTTCTCGGACTAGAGCCCCGACTTCATCGTGGCCCTCTCTCAGACTTCCTTCGAAAAGAAGTGCGGGTAGAACATCGCCGTTCCAACGTTCGACCTGCGCCCCGAATCTTTCGCAGACCTCGAGGATAGGCAATAGCAAGGAGGTGAGAAGGGTATTCGTGAGCAGACACCCTGTCATCAAGCGGTCCAGATAGTCCGAATGCATGTTTCGCAGCGTGGTGAAATCGAGGGTTTGCCCGTTCGACGCAACTGAAGCAGCACTCGTCGCTGTCGCTAGCTGCGCTGAGGGCAGGGAAGCCAAGCTGGCTGATGTTGGCAGAACCCGGCCTCTTGCTAGCATTTCTTTCAACCTCGAAAACTCGACGTCCACGACATCGACCATGAGGTAGCTCAGCAGTGTATCGAGAAACCACCCCATATCCCGAACTAGACCCCACCCACAGCGCAGCAGCGTTTGACGCACTTGTAGATCCTCGACCGTGCCGCCCTCGCCCAGGCCTGTCCATCGTCTTCGAGCCCGTTGTGCGTTGGATAGAGAGGACCAGCAGTTGTGAATTCGAGTATGAGTTTTCCGCAGAGCAGAGAGATACGAAAAGAGGTTGGCGTATATTGCGAGGTCAGACTTGTGCAGAAACAAGTCTAATGGCCAGGACACTTTGTAAGACAGAGTCAAAGGCGTGGTTCCCAGTAAATGAGCACTGAATTGAGACGCCTCCACGGTCATGGAAGCAGACAAGTCAGCCGTTTTGGGGTATTGAGTGTGACTCAGAGACGGCAGGAGAGGGCGAATTGGCCCAGAGGGCAAGGAGAACCGGAGTAAGGATAGCGTCGGGTCGTGCTGGGCGGTGGTCCCTAGCGAGGCTCGAAGTAGAGCCACGTTGAGATCTTGGTCTCGAATGATCGCCGCTGAACCTGCACGAACAGTCAATCGAGACAGCTTCAATCGCTCGATTTCTTGAATGAGAGCCTGTGCGAACTCCCCGTTTCGAAGAAGAAAGTAGTTTCCGCTTCTCATTTGTTGAGCCTGGGGGTCTGGAATGGGACGAAACTCACAGTGAATCCACGGCATCTTCTACGTCTTTCTGGGTCAGGACATTCAACCAAAGCCACTCGCTGACGTTGGTTCGGATTTGAAATATGGCCTTGTCAAAGTCGTGCTGGTCCTCGGGAAGCACAGTCTGCAAGAGCTCGGTATGCTCAGTGATCAATGACCGAGGGAGCTGCTTTTCCCATTGCGCGGCCTTCACTGTGGCGATGGCACGTCCAATGTAGACCACCGAGTCCCGTGATTGTTCAGAGACGCAAGAAGGCATCGATCCATCTTCAAGAGAGTAGGAAGTTGAGATCAATGGATCTGACGTCGAAAGCGAGCCATGGATGATGAATGCACCGAGCTGAGTTCTCCACACTCGTTGAACGGCAATGGCCAGCGAAGACATGATCTGAGATATTCTCTGTACTCCAGTGTGCGCTCTTGTGAGCAAGAGATCGATGAGAGGCCCAGGCCTCCACGTCTTTTCATTCTCGAGTTGTTCGACAAGTGCGATCAAGACCGCGAACGGGGCGTCCCATGGCGAGAATATCGCTCGTATAGAGGAGAGTGGAACAAAAGACCCGCTCGCTACGAGATCTGGATCTCTCAAGAGAACCTTCGCCTGAATGGTTTCAACAACACAATTCGATGCTATGACCGTCGACAGAGATGGCAGCATACCTCCGTGTCCACAACAAGCGCTTGGTATTCAGATTTCAAGAATTGTGTCAGAGTAGCTGCTACGGTAGTGACGTAGCGTGACGGGTTTCCCAAAAGTCGGTTACATGCTGCTGATATGCGCCTGTATCGCCAGGCAATGACTGCAAGTGATTCCAAACATTGCTGCTCGCCCGGATGAAGAAGCGGGGCGAAATTCGGATGGAGGACCGGCCCTGACGGAAAGAGGGAGGACTCGTGGCCAGCAAGGAGTAGGAACACCTCAGAAATCATCACGGTTCTCTCTAACGCGCATGATCGGACGCGTTGGGTCACAATCGCCGCGTGATGTCACGTCGTCCTTACCCGATTTCGAAGGCACTGGCATGCCCCTCGAGTCTTCTTCCTCCTCCCTTGGCCTTGACGATGCTTTCGCAGACAGCGATGAGGACCGCATCGAGTATAATTTCTCTCCAGAGGCCATAAGGGCCGAGATGGCTCGTCGCGAATCGTCCTGGGCGACTGAATCAGACGCTGATTCGGCTCCTCACTCCTTCGAAATCGATGAATCCGTATCTACGCTCGACATCAGCGGAACCAGGTCTCAGTCCCCAGCTTCGGAAGTCGACTCCACAATCGAGGGCGATGGGTCAGAAGCAAACTTCTCTTCGATCTCTCTGGGAGAGCAAACGGATGCGGACGGACACGTAGCTACCGCTGCGGAAGACGATGTTGTTGTTGGAGCGCAAGATCAAGAGGTCCCAGAAGACTCTCAGGTCTTGGACATCCACGAAACCCATTCATATCCCAACGTCCTCATCGACGCCTCCAAACCACCTGGGCATCGCGTGACCGTCTCGATGTCCACTATTGCTGAGCGCACCCCGACACATTCCACCAATGCTAGCTCTTCCCGCCCAGGTTCTAGACAGTCTATTCACTCCCCACCTCCCGAGTCTAATGGGCATTTGCCTGCCGCTTCTTCATCGTCGCAACCCATTCCTCCACTGCCATTACCAGCATCGCCTCCCGGACCGCCTCCCGTGACTCCCAAAACCCCATCTCGACCAAACCGCTCGACAGGACCGAGCATGTTTGAGAAGGTCAGAAGTAAAACCCGGCCTTCGTTCCTGCCTCCGAAAAGCAAGCAGGAGGATAACAAGCATCTGAGCGAATGGGAGTCGATGATGAAACAGAGTCGGTTGTCAGGTTCGTTCGGCTCGCTTCTCATATCATGCGAGGCTCAATGGGCTTACAGCGGAGAAGCGAAGACAAGCGCTGCAAGATCGGCGGTTAGCTCGGGAGAAGAAGATTGAGGATTCGCTCCACGTCTGGGAGAAGGAGATCGTTCCCGACTGGAAGGTCGTGCATAAGAATCCGGCGCTCAAGAAACTCTGGTGGAAGGGCATCCCGACGAAGCTGCGCGCATCCATGTGGACGAACGCCGTCGGAAATGCTTTGGCATTGAGTAAAGGTGTGTGCTATGAAACTCAGCGTGAACTTACACCTGACTCTACGTTCGAGATAACTATAGAATATGCAGTACGCGAGCCAAGAGAGCTCTCGCGGCCGGGTCCTTTCCGTCGCAAACACTGTCGATGATCGAGGAGGACATGGCCGCCACGCTACCTTCGTTACACATCTTCCATCGCGAAACCGGACCCTTATATGGCGATCTGAGAGATATGCTGTGTGCATGGGTTGTGTCTAGAAGCGACGAGGGACTGGGATACGCCGTGGGAGCGGCTAAAATCGCTGCCATGATGTTGCTTAATATGCCTGTGCCACAAGCGTTTATTGTGATGCGCAATCTCCTGGAAAGACATTGCATGCGGAGCTTCTTCGGCGGAGAAGGCTCCAAAGCGGATGTAAGTGCTCAGTTTCCATTGCTGATTGCGCTCAAAATGGTATCAGGTCGATGCATATTATCGGTGATTGTGGACCAACATGTTGAATGTAAGTGGATGATTGACGTCTCGCAGGATCTTCGATACATTGCTCGCGGATGGGATGCCGAAAAGTGGGTCCTTTTAGTCGACTGTCACGTCATATCTCATCGTTCATGCAGTCTACTTCAATTTCAAACAACATCAGATCTCTCCAGGAGCTTATCTGCCTGGCTGGATCGTCCCGCTCTTTCTCGATCACTTGCCCTTTGAAGCTTGCGCTCGACTCTGGGATGTCATTCTCCTCGAAGGGGACTCGTTTCTCTATCGCGCGTCGTTGGGAATCTTGGCTGTCCTTGAGCCTCGATTGTTCTTTCCGGATCGACAAGAGCTGCTGGAGCTACTTAGGTGAGTCGTCGTCCCCAGGATAGATCTGGCTGCTTCATCCCGTTCAGAGGAGAGAACAAAGCAGCATTGGATGTGGCGAGCCGTGAAGGACGTCCGCTAGATGGCGGTAAGTATGAGATCTACGGCGTTGACGAGGAGACGTTGTGGGACCGGCTTGATGGCATGCGCGACTGGTGGAAGGATTCTACATGGGCTCGATTAATACAGCGAGAACTGCCAGATTTGTAGTACATAAATACACTGTCGCGTCTAGCGTCCATTTAAGCAAACAGTGTGTCTACAGAGGACAGAACGTGTCCCCAGAACGTATCGACAGTCTCATCGAAGCCCGCCTTGTCGTATCCCAGACTGATCCACATCTTGCCAGCAAACGTGTATCCAAACAAGAGCATCCCTCCGGCGCGCTGCCGGGATCCAGTGGTCAGCGTGTGCAGCTTGATGCTGGGGTAAGTAGCATGCTTGTAGACGCCGTCCAGGTTGCCCAGAAGAGACAAGCCGATCAGAGCGGTCGACGGCGCCTGTTTGGGCGCCGCAGGTTCCGCCGATGCCGGCTTCGGGGGCGGGGCCTGCCAGGTGCCGGCTTCCTTCTCGTCGTCCTCCTTGGCAAAGCGACGAGCCCGTTTCCCGCGCTCGTTGGCCATCTCGTAGCTCCGCGACGCAAGCAGCGGGTTCTTGGCTGCTTTGGTGCTCTGCGTCTTGGCCGCACGGGCTCGGTGCCAGAAGAGCTTCTCGGTGACCTCGGCATTCTCAATGGGCATGAATGTCGGGAGCACGACGTTGAAGTATCCGATAGCGAGATACCAGTATGTCTCGTTTTGCACCTTGCTCGCGGTGAGAACCGGACGCAAGTTGAGAGCCGAGTACATCATCCTGCGCGACGCTTGAGTTCCTCCGACGTGACTGAAGCCACGCATAGAAACTCACATGGGCAGCTCCCATTTGTCTCCGCGGGTCTTGGCCCAGGCGACGTTCATGAGACTGAAGAGTGCTGCGCTGATCGAGACACCCTGTGCCTTGCACTTTTTCAACATGGCCTTGGTCTTGTCAGCGTCGAAGGAGACAGTCGGCACGACCGTCTTCCGCTCGCCACCAGAGCGCCGAGGGAAGGCATGTCCACCCTGAATACAGGCTGAGTATCTGACGCTCGCAATCGATGACTCAGACTCACCATCAGCCGGGACTCGCTGGTCTGGAAATCGACTTGGGATGCGGCACGGAAGAACTTGCCCTCCGGTCGAGGAGGCAGCCTGTCCTCCAGAGAAATCGGGAGGGTCGACGATGTCTAGAGACACATGGGTATGGGATCTGATCAGAGATCAGAGCATACTCACGTCAGCTGCCTTGGCACTCGCTCCCCACTTGGTGTGCCACTCCTCTGTGAGCAGGAACTGGAGATCCTCTGCGCTGCGCCCTTCGCCGAGGAGAGTGAAGAGCTCGTTCGAGAACTGGTGGAGAGCCATCCCGTCCCCGATGTAGTGCGCCGCACAGACGAGCAGGTCGAAGTTGCGGGTGCCATCCTCTGACTCGTCCTGCTCTGGCTCAGATATAATCAGATAAGATAATCTTTCGCTCGACAGAGTTCGCGGCCCATTCAGGTACGAGTCGATGAGGTCTGGGAGAGACAGATCAGCCGGCGCCACATGTTTGGCCCATCAGGTACCCACCGTCCTTGCCCTGGGTCCTGTATTCCAGGCATTCGTTGGCAGATTCGATTGCGTCGGTCACGCTGGCAGGAGGATTGTACCTAGAACGCGGTGATCGTCACTCACGGCCCGCATCACACAGTAAAATCCGTCCTACACGAATTTGATGTCATGATAATCATTCATCTTGACCGTGGAGGCGACAAGGGGGTGCTTAAGCCTGAGCATAGCCCACGCAGCAGACACGCGGCTGCGGTCGAAAATCTCCGGGTTTGCGCGCAGACCGAGGTGTAGGTACCTATCCGCAGCATGTAAGAGGGTGAATCGAAGCTCCGGAGAGCAGGAACCTACATGTCGTTCACCCCCGATGCCCGCGAGGGGAGGAAGTACGAGACCTCAGTCTCTCCGAGAGGACGTTCGACAGCCTCGTGGCGGATGGGCGACGAGACCAACGTCGCATCAGAGGCCGTAGAGTCAAGGCGCTGGAGAATGGGGGCTTCCATGTCGTCGATAGTGGGCTCTCGGGCGCTGGAGACCTGGAAAACAGGGGGCTGATTGACCGCCCATGTCCGTCTTTGTTTATATAGCAATCCCACCTGCTTCGGCAAATGAACAGAGCTTACTATCAGAGACTGGCATCGGAGTATCCTGATTTTGGCTCCCTAAACCCGTCACAAAGGGCGGAGCCAACCAGTGGATCTGAGATGCTGGAAACTACGGCACAGCCACCATCTAATCACAACTTGCTTACAAATACAGCTCTACGCAATTATTCGACGTTCTGTTTCTGTGCGGTCTTATTTCCTACATGGGGCTCTTTTATCTCTGGAAAAAGTTCTCCTTCCTCCGAATTTGATTCGATATCAGAGGGACGGTGTGCAGTCTCGATCGCTTTGACCCACGTGAAGTATCTGTGAAACTCATGATAAACATTTGTAGCTGAGTAAGAGCACGAAAAATACCGACATGGTGCCCCCCAGGATGACAGCGATCGAAGCACCGCGATTACTGCAGTAGAGGAAAGAGTGAGAACATCTGAAGAATAGTCTGGTTTCAACTGACGTCGTGAGCAAGTCTCCAAAGTACACGACCCCAATGAGAGTCTGTATAACTGAGCGAGCGGCCTGGATGGAAAGTCTGATAAAGATTCGAAGGACCTTTCTGGAGAGCTGCTTACGCTGCTGAACATATGGGTGATAGGACTCGTAACCCGGATGCTTAGCAGACCTGCTGTGGAAAAGGAAAACGATAAGATCGTGGTCACTTATGCGAGACCGTAATCACCAATGCATAACAGGAATCCAAAGATACCAGTGATAGCAGAGCCCCAAAGAAACAGCCTTGCATCCCATTGCGGATTATCGATCATGGAGCGAAGGGCAGCTGGCTCTCCAACGAGCAGTATGACAGGCAAAAGAAGGACGGCGGACCCCACGTTCGTCCACCAGGCAAGTTGGATTGTAGAGTTCCCGCAGTGCGGGAGCGAGCTTTTTATCAGAACCGCATGGACGGCGATGAAAAAAGACGACAGAACACCATAGCTAAGTGACAGAAACGATGGCGTCGAGGCGATGGGGATCTTTGACGACGGGGACACACCCAAAAGGAAGCCGCAGGTGACAATGAGCGCCGCGACTATCACTCTCGTGCTTGGGACAGCCTTGGTATGAATGCCAGACACGGTGATCGTAAGAGGAAGAACCAAGCCCCTGGCGATCTGGAAGAAGGATGCCTCCACGCCCCGTAGACAGAGTGTATTGAAGACAAGCCTCAAAAGATCGTGAGTCGATTGCTCTTGAAAGATCAAGAAAATCTGTGGCACACCCGACGATGTTCACAAAGACTACTGGAAATAGTTTCTTGGCGGTAGGGATCTCAAATTTAGGGATTTCTATCGTCTTGGAGAAAGCTGCGGTCGCATGGAGAAGAACGACAGCGATAGCGAGTTGGAGCAGCAAGAACGTCAGTGGAGTTTCGGGAGCATTGACCAAGACGGCCTTATTGCTGTGAGTGGCTACTGAGCTGCCTCATGACGATTTCGGATCCCAAACGAGAGAACGCACACGAAGACCATCTACGCGGGAATTCATGAGTAAACACGCGGCGGTACGAATCGGGCAGCTCACTGTGAGGGCCGAGAACATGTAGAACGTGACGACAGCTGCTACCTGGAGCCTGGACGACATGACTAGAAGTGACGAGTGGGGAGAAACGACGGTCGGTCACAGTGCGCCATATTGGACAGTCTCTTAATGAGTGGGAGATAGGCCGGAAAGAGATTGTGGATCTCGACAGTACTATCATTGACCCACTTCTGCAATTGCACCCTGATCTGCAATCCGTGATAAACACTCATTTCCTGGGCTTCCACATCCCTCAACGTGTCCCGGATGGACTCCCAGAGATTATTATATAGCTGTTCAATGCTCCTGTAAAATATATATATTCCATATCTTGAAATAATTAGACCCGAGACCATAAACCTACCTTCAGAACACTTTTTTACTCATCTTGACTCAGAGATATCGGATTTCGATGCGGAAAAAAGCTCACACCCTTATATTTGCTACTGGTAATGCATGGTTAATATATCCTGAGTCCAGTCCTCGCAGTTCATGAGAACGGAGCATGCGTGACGGAGGCCATCAATTTTCAAGTCCCGTGTGCAATAACCGAGACCCGCCTCCAGTCAGGCCACATCATTGCCGAGACATGCCGGATTGCATCAAAGTGTGACCCCGTGTGACAAGCGATTGCAAAAGGGGGGTCAGCCCCGCCAAAAAAAGTGATCGTTTCGGCAACTGCGTGGCTTCATCCTCTGCCCACAGATAGCAAGTAAATTTCATACAGACGGTCTCAAGGGTTCTAACTTCAATATCCTCAATTTTATTTTTTCTCTGTGTGTGTTATGCAAGCTAGCGAGGCCACCATCAAAGTGTTTGCAGAAGTGGGTCATCGATAGTAGAGCTCTCCTTCTCATCGGCGTTTGGACGTCCCAAGATAGATGACTGCAGGCGAGATTCGCATGAATGTGCTGTCTTCACAAGAGCAATCAATCTTAGATCTCGCATCATGCCGGCGTTTTGACTCCGCTGTCAGTGACTGTCAATCATATGTTGACCCTGTGACAACTGTGACATGCACGTTGAGGGCGCTTTCTGGCGCTTTTCGTTTCCGCTCATTTCTCCTCTGAATTGAATGCATTATCCCTTCACGGCGCCTTTCCCTCCAATTATTTTTCTTTATCTGTCCTCATTGAAGAAGAAGGGCTATTTTTTCTCTGTGAAAGCTGTCGCTTCTTTCACATCTTGTGCCTCCATCGAACCCCTCTGGCACTGATGATGGACACGAAAAAAATGACGTTTCAAGAAATAACAGAGGCCGGGTATCTTCAACGTTCGACCCATTCTTGATCTTGGATGGCCCTCCGTCCCGTGTCCTTGATCCATCGAAGACGCTCTCTCGTCGCGGGTTTGGTTCTTGTTACAATTGCGGCACTCTCACTGTCGCGAACGCTTACCTACGCATCATTCTCTGCCCGCGCAGGAGAACCGACCATCTTCACGGCTTCACCTCTCGTATGCGTCGATAAAACTTATGAATCAGCGCGCGCGTCGAACGGAGCACCGACAGCCTCCTTCAGAGACAATCTAAAAGTTGACAGGAAATATATCACATCGTGGACGTCGGCTGGATGGAGTGGGTCGCATTCATTCTCATGCATATCTCAGCGGCTGAATTTCCTTGGCGCAGCCAACGATGTCGCCACCTACGTGCGTAACTTGAGCCTAGACAATCACGACTTCGCAAACAAAATGCCTGAGTAGATCAATCTCATCTATCTAGGCCTCATCACTGAGCGGATTCCTATCGTCCCGGATTTTCTTCCCTCGCACATCGGAGTCCACGTGCCCCCCATTCCCTTCGGGGACGTCTTCGATCTTCCTCGTCTGCGCAATCAGCTTGGCACGGCCGTCCTCGAATGGAGAGATGTCAAGGTACATGGTGGTTGCGCACAATCTCCATGGCTTCGCCTTGATTTCCTGTAGGACGTGAACAGCACTTTTGTTGATGACTTGGGCTGCTGGAATGTATGGGAGGCGGTGCAATTCCGCCATGCACATCCCCGGGACAGCTGGCATCCTACCCACCTTGGGCTTGGTGAGTGATGAATCCGTCCTCATCTATCAACCACATTCAACATCCACGACCCGAAGATATCTCCTACACCAAAGTCCCCGGTTGGGTCAAGCTGATTCCAGATTCTGAGCACGATGTGAGTCCCAGACGGACGCGGATATCTTAGATCAGCATCAACTAATTATCCAGTATCATGCCACATTCTGGGCACTTGCGACTCTGGCTTTTCCGTCCGGTCAGAAAGCCAATATGGTGCCGCCGTCACCGTCACCCGAACACCACTCGCTCCTCGCTCCTGACGAGCAATTGCTGTGTTACGACTTTTGTGAGATGACTCTACTCGGAATTGTGTCATTCTGACGATGCAACAGTGTATTACGTGGTTGCACATCGAGTAAGTTCTATTACGTACCGTCTGCGATGTCCTCACACTCACAACCCGCGATTAGCCTTTCGAAATGCAATATGACTACAGGTGCTGTTTCTCACGGAGGAACAATCAGGTTCTGACCGCCAGCACGGAAGCCCTGCTTGGCGATCTGTTGGGACTCACATGCACTGGAATCCGAGCTTGGAGGAACTTGCGGAGAGCTATCTCCGCGCGGCCATGAGGTTGTCCGAGGAGTCCCCGCTCGTCCCGGTGCGCTTTAGCTACCCTGTATGTCGGGAGAGGATTGAATTGTGTTCTTCAGTTCATCTCAGTCCATGTTCGACATGCCGACTTTGAAGTAAGTAGGGACACTCTATTCTCGTCCCTTCCTGATCCGATATCGTCCTCCAGTCGTGGTGCAATGGAATCCCTGTCAAGCAGTGCTGTGCGTGGGCCCAGAATCTCCGACGAATTTGGTCAAGTTGACCCTCATCCTAGTCGCATCTCTTGCTGCGATCAACCGACAAGTACAGCAGATAAGAGCGGAGATGCTCAGGCTCAAAGGTGTCAGAATTCACCACGTGGTGATGACGAGTGATGAGAGGGATGCGATCTGGTGGCACGACGTTGCTGAACTCGGATGGCTGAGGATAGACCATTCACGCACAGCACACGTTTATGGCGAGTGGTGCGTCCTTCTCGTCAATTTGAGAGTTCTTGGGGCGGAGTTTTTCCAGGTATCCGGTGCTCATTGACGCCGTGATCCAATCGAAAGGTGCTGCGTTCGTAGGAACAGATCGATCGTCGATGTCCGTTCTCGCTGGTGCGTCGAGATGTGTCAGTATTTTCACTTGAAACAACATCCTCAGGGCGACGTGTCGAGGACTGGCAAAATGGGCTGAGTGCGCTGGTCAAGTGGGGCACAGCCACTTCTGACGATCACTAGACTAGATTGCATTCCGCACCACTCTACAGTATTCGAACGATAATATCTCATACATTTGCATTCCGCCTGCTTCGCAGTCTTGTGCTCGATCGCTTTCGTTTGGAAAGCCGCTTGAAGCCATGTTCTCTTACAGCACCGATAACAGCAAGTGCGCCGGGAAGAATCACAATTAGAGCAGAAATCTGGGGGCTCAGTGAGCGATGCGTTGAAATAATGTATCCGATAAAGAACCCCCTACGCACCTGCCCGAAACCCATCTGTTGCGCGGCATCCTGAGCCCCGTAATTGTTAGTGAGCAGAAGCTCGCTGGAGACGATAAAATATGTAAAGACCAAAACTTGGCAGATGACAACACCTGAGAGCAACTGGATGAGCCTTTGGACCCGCGAGAAATGCGACTGTACTAGACACCGATGAACATTGGATCGAGCTCACGTGACCATCGTCTCCTGCGTGGCCGGCGCTTGAGAACCGATTGACTGGGCCCAGATGCGGACGAGAGAGACACGATCTCCGTCGGAGAAAGGATCGAAGTCTGCGTTGCTGTCCTTGGCACCACGCTGATGTTGGCCAAACTTGGTGGTCGGCGGACGCTTGCACTCGGGACTGCCCCAATCGTTGTAGTGGTTTGAACAGCAGGTAGGGTAGAGTGTCTCGGAGTCGAGGTCCGAAGGTGATAGGGAATTAATGCCTTCACGCGTCGTCTCTTCACGGAAGCAAACAGCTCATGGAGTGATATTGAGGTATATATGACCAATAGCACAGAGGAAGCAGTCAACCCGATGATCTGCACAGACCTGATCAATAATGTCCAAGCGCAAAGTTTCCGGCCTACCTTGCCTGGTTGAAGAGCAGGGACTTTGATTACAAAGACCATAAATGTGACAAGATGTGAGCATTGAGGGAGGCTGCCGAAGGTTTCGATAGTTGCCCTTGCGAAGGGGTAAGGCCCAAATATGATCCAGGTAGACGAAGGCCGCAGATTACCACATATAAATCGTGAGACATATCGACAGAAAGGTTTGCAGCAGGATCCCTGACTTGACGTTGTAGTCATATACCGTGCTCGAGTGACTGGCAGCTTTTTGACGACTGTAGCTTGCCATCGCTACAAACATGCCGAAGTTTGCAAGCCTGAAAAACCGAATGGGAGTTTGAGGCAACGACCAAGACTCCAGAATCGACAAATATGCACCAGACAAGATTTGACACCTGCAAGCCCTGGTACAGACTAAGTTGCCCTTGAGCTTCTTGGATGATTGCTGCCACAGTGAGGCCAAAGCTGGTGGCGAGGAATGTCCACAGCGCAATAGGCGCGCTGCATCAGCCGCTCAATTCACTGCACTGCCGTACGGTAGGAGGATAAACTCACTCTACCCATGACCGATCGACGAGGAAAACTACAGAGGATGGAGCGTAAGAACTTGAATTTTCGCTCAGCAGCACCGACCCAGCAAGAATGTCTGCAGATAGAAGCTAATTCTGCAACAACCAGTCAGGTCAACCTTCCCATCCTCGGGGAGGCACACTCTACGGACCGTACACCGATTCCAGCGTTATCAGGATTGGTTGCCGCAAAGCCTGCACAAGGATCGAGCGACATGGGCTCAGACCAGTGGTGTCATGCCCGTGTTCTCTCAAGCTAGTCGAGTGGTGAGATCATGAGGAAGGACTGTCCGGCAGCACCCGGCCCGGAGTTGATACTAGTAGCAACAGTAACTCTGTCTTCAATCTTGTGGTACTCTAAACATATCCTTCGCGTACTGTTCCAGACCTTTGAGCGTCCCTATCTCCTGCGTTATGGTGTCCACCGTCTCATCGCTCAACCCATCCTTCGTTCTCGAGTAGATGTCCAGACCAGCAGGCGTGAAGAGTGTGGACTCGAAGTACGTCACGACGTAGTCTGGCTCACTCTCGAAGCCGAGCACTTGCCAATGGCTTGTCGCAATCATGAGGAGACCCTTCCCGCGCCTAGATTGGGTCGAAGCTACAGCACCGCCGCGGATAATATGGACAACACGACGCGCACCATTTCCATCCTCCGGGCTTCTCCAGCCTGTCGATCCCCCGCACAGTAGACGGCGTCTGCGTCCCTTTCCCATTCCGCATCTCGTATGTAACCAAGTCATCGAACGTCGTCGCCGGTTCTCCTGGGATAGTTGAGTATGTGATCTTGACGTTCTTCTTGTTCTTCCAGAGGGGAAGTGTGCTCGCGACGCTGTTTGGGGGTTGAATGATACGAAGAGGAGAGAGCAGTAGCAAGCACGGACACATGCCAAGTCCCTAGCAATTTGTCGTAGGGCAGCTCCTCCAGATACTCTCCCGGAGCGCAAAGTGTGCGTGCTGATGCAGGCATTGAGCAAGGGCGATTGATGGCCCGCGTTGGCGATGCTTTGCAGGGAGGAGTTATGTGTTGATACATGTTCTACTACTATACGTGAGATATACGATACTCTTCAAAACAATCGATCTATGGGAGCGTCAACTCGCATCCTCGCCAGGCGGTATACGCTGTTGGTCACTGGCATATCAACCAAGCCGGCGTTGGATGCCAGCAAATGTCCGGTCAGATAGGTGAGGTCATGCGGACGTGCATAGAGCATGGCATTGAGCATCGGCGAGATTTCAGATTTCCGCTCGGCTGCATAATTCAGACAATCTCTGAGCAGATTCTCGGCCAGGAGCGCTGGCGGAACTCTGGCCGCGCCGGAGAGCTCCATCATCTCGGGGTCGGGTTCCGGATATTCCGCTCGAAGCTGCGCCTCTGCCTCTGCACGGAAGAGCGCTGCGGCCTCATTGCACATATCCCTCGCGAGCATCACAGCTTCCGTCCTGGTAAACAGGTCCCCTACGCGGCATCCCATGAGTATGCTGAGAGGCTGGATGATCGAGTCGACGACGAGCCGCCGACGCATACGAGACTGCATTTCCTGCAAGCTGCACCAGTGCGCGCTGAGTGACTCCGCCAAGTGCAGGACGGCCACGGTATTTCGCAAGGTGCGGTAGAACGGGTACAGAGTATCGCCCGTCGTGGACGCGATATTCGAGAGGCGCAGACGCCTGTCTGACGAGGAGCTCTTGAGGCCGGCTTCGACATCACGGGATCCATTTGGGACGAGCGCGTAATGGATTCTGCCCGGAAAGGTGTGGACGACCCGTCGCGCCCCTCCGGTGGTGGTATGGCTAGCCGCGTGTGTGGATGTCGCGAGAATAACGTGAGGTCGTTGTTCTGGGTCGCTGAACAACGGCGAAAGCCGGTGAACGGCGAGCGCGTTGTTCGCAAGCACGACCGTACTCGTCGGCAAGATACGGTGAGCGAGGCGTCGAAGGGCGTAGAGCGCCGAGTGTCCTTTGTTAGTGATAAACAATGAGTCAATCGGGGAGTCGTTTTTGGTATCTTGCGATTCATGCTCAAAGTCCGTAGAGGTTGTGAATGTGGCGCCGTTCTGGACCTGGATGCCGGAAGCCTTGACGCTGAGTGCATCTCTCGCTTTCCGGTGGATAATAACGATTTTGTGGGAGGGAGGCGTGGCTCTGCGGAGGTGGTGCGCAAAGAGCGAGGGAATTGGTCCTGCTCCGAGCACATGGAAGCGCATAAACCGAAAATTGTTGACAGAATCGAGGTATCACGGCAGGACGAGCCAACAGAACGTGTTGACTGGATTCCAAAACACCCGGATACCAGAAAAAGAGCCAGCCCGACGATAGGGACAGAGCGGGACCCTTGAAAGTTGGGCTGGCGTTGAGCTGGAAAACGAAACTCAGAAATATGGACGCGTTGATGGTTACGTAATGGGATCATGATCACTGGGAAATGTTGTACTAGTACCCACACATGACTGGCCCGAATCTGTTTCCCCACACTCATCTACAATGGCTTCTATCGCACTTGCTCGCACTGGCCAAAAGGTACTGTAGATTCCATCCGATCTCCTCCAAATATTGGATCATAGCTCATTTCTATCCACCATAGATGCCGCTCGTCGGGTGAGCTCCTATCTTCAGCCGATTCCCCAATCTCCCATCCGAAACTTTGAGCATTTGACTAACGGTATCGTTACAGCTTTGGGCTTTGGAAGGTTACCAAGTCCTCTTGTGCCGATGTAAGCGTTCTCGCATAATCCTCCGACCGTCGATTGACGGGATCTCTCTGTAGACGGTGTACAACGCGTGCGTGAGCGTATCTCGTAGGCTCTAAGCGGCCCATTAGAAGAATTTCTAGTATAAAAGCGGGATATCGCTTGTTCGACGGGGCTGGTCAGTACCCTGCAACTCTGTTCCTTCCATTCGTTCGACGCTTGTAGGTGATTACGGAAATGAGAAGGAGGCCGGTGAAGGCGTTCGCCGTGCCATAAGCGATGGTCTTGTCAAGAGAGAGGATCTTTGTAAGTCCCAACTCGAAACTTCTGGGCTGTGGCCGTAGCTGATTATCTCTGTCAGTCATCACTTCCAAGGCAAGTGGTCGTCAGTGTGACCGTAATGGAGCCTTGTTGATATCTCGCAGTTGTGGAACACCTTCCATGCCAAGGAGCATGTCAAGACGACTGCCCAGATGCAATTGGGTCTGTGGGGAATTGAATGTAAGCCCATATCGAGATTGGGGATCAGTTTGCTGAGCACCAACGACCTAGACTTCGATCTCTTCCTGGTTCACTTCCCGATTGCTCTGAAATACGTCGATCCCGCTGAACGATACCCTCCTGAGTGGTTTGGAGGGGACGGTAAGACGGTGAATTTGCAGGACACGCCCATCCAGGAGACCTGGACCGTCATGGAGCAGCTCGTTGACGATGGAATCGCCAAGAACATTGGTATCAGGTGGGATATATGCGCCCACATCTGCTCACCCTTGTACTCACGTAGATGATCCAGCAACTTCCAAGGCTCTCTGATCATCGACATGATGCGCTACGCCCGTATCAAACCCCAGGTGCTGCAGGTCGAACTCCACCCTTATCTCACCCAGGATCACCTCGTCGCTTTGTGCAAGACCCTCGGAATCGCCATGACTGGCTACTCGTCCTTTGGTCCCCAGAGCTACGTTGAGTTGTCGATGGATCGCGCCGCCCCAAGCTTGTTGTCCCACGACATAGTCAGCACGATCGCCAAGAAGTACCAGCAAAGTACGCGCTCGCAATCATTTTCTGGAATCATCTCTGAAACAGGCACCAGCTACTGCGCAGGTTCTGCTGCGTTGGGCGACTCAGCGTGGCATCGCAGGTGCGTCTTTGTGATCTCTACTGTGTGCCAGATCATGGCTGACCAAAACCGCAGTGATTCCCAAGTCTAACAGCAGTGAACGATTGGTCCAGAACTTGGCTAGCGAATCCTTCAATCTTACGGAAGAAGAAATCGCCTCCATTTCCGGCCTCAATTTCAACTGCCGGGTATGTTTTGATCTGATCTTACTGCGCTGCGTAGTCTCAACTGCTATGAAGATGAACGATCCACGCGACATCGACCCCAGGTGAGTCATTCAGCACTCTCTAGGAATATTATACTTGTGCTAAGGCAATCGCGCAGAATGGCTATTTTTGCTTGAGAAAAGCAGGTGTATTAGGATAAATAAATGGAAGAAACTTGTATGTTTGATTTGAAATGAAGCACGTCCCGCAGTTACAGCTTGCTCAGCGATGGTGAGAGGCACAGCACTTCGAAGCCGCAGCAGTGTAGATGGTCCGTGCACATGCGCAGCATACTACTATATACATAAGATAAGTAGTGATCAAGCATTTGCACAGCTCCAACCATGAACTCCCAATTCAAGTTGACGAGAAACGGTCTCATCCGTCGTGTCTCTTTCCCCTCCCCTCCCCTATGGGCCGAGCTTGCAGCCCGAATTCACGTCCTTTTCGATATTCCCATTGCCTACATTGGGGTGTCCTATGTTGATGCGGACTCGGATGAAGTGACGCTCAGTTCCGAGGAGGAGCTGCGCGACTATTACCACTCCAACCCGAGCCCTCCCGTCATCAAGTTCGCCGTCCACGATCTGTCTGCTACAAGCAGTGAGAAGTCGCTACCGGATACACCCCGGACAAATTTACGCAACACTTTTGGGGTCGAAAGCCCGAACCCGTTCGAGGTCGACGATGATTGGCGGCGGCTCCCGTCGCTCGGTGGAATCTACGTTCCGGACGAGTCTCCTGGTCCCCATGCGTTCATCCAGAGCATTGGCTCTGAAACAGCACCCTCGGCGCGGCAGAGCGATGCAGGGAGTGTCAGTGGCTCCACTACGGATTATGGAAACCTGCTGTCTGCGGAACTCAAGGGCAAGGGCAAGGTGTCGGATGATATTACTCTGTCTGGAGAAGACCTGCTCGCTACTCCGATTCAGCCCTTCCAGCCGTCGCTGTTCCGTAACCCGTCTACTGTTTCCCTGCCACCTACTACGTCATCTCGTCCAGCCTCGACTGCAGCAGTTGCAGAATCCATACCAGTTCCCGTTGAAGCACCTGAAGCACCGGAATCAGTGTCCCCGCCAGCGCCTCCTACAACGACTGCGATTGAGGACCCCAGCGACCCTCCTCTGCCCGAAATCCCGGCTGCGTCCCTGACCAACGACGTCGCCGCGCTGATCAACACATTCAGCACCATCTTTTCGACCCACCCGGAACTCTCTGAAGGGCTGCGCAACATCATGCAGAATGCGACGAACGGCGTGTACTGGCACACCCATCGAACTGCAGTCTCGCAGGCTGCGGGCGAATTCATGTCTGCGACGGGCGAGGCTGCCGAACAGATGCGTCGTCGAGCTGAGGAAGAGGCTGGACGTCGTGTTGCTGAGGCAGTCGGTGGGATGCTGCGCACGCTGTCACAGCTAGGTAGCGGTACTGCGTCTAGCGAAGACTGGCGCACGAGCACTTCCGATGCGACTGGACAACGGGACTCAACCTCGTACTGGTATCACGGGCCGCCCCATGGTGGATGGGGGCGGGGTCGAGGTCGTGGTGGTGGTTTCGGTCATCATGGACATCACGGACATCATGGACATCGTGGTGGACATGGAGACCGTGGCAATCAACCCCCTCCGCTTCCGCCTCACCCACCGTTCGGAGGGCCTCTGGACCCCATGCACCACTCCGCTCCATGGCATCATCCCGCGCCGCCACCGCCACCGCCTGGACCGCCATTCATCCCGTTCCCACCGCCTGCTGGGCCTCCCCCTCCACCCAATACCTCAACCCGACCGCAGGACGTCAAAGCTCAGGTCATCGCAGCTAAAGAGCTCTATGAACAAGAGAAAGAACGCTATAAAGCTGAGCGCACTAAGCTTCGTGGTATGAGGGAAGCCAGACTGTCTGCTCAAGGGTAAGTTGACCATCGCCTGCTTTGTCTTTCTTATGCTCTTATCGGACTTCCAGTGCGACTGCAGATGCGGAAGTTCCGCCGGCTCCGGAAGCTCCGGCCCCGGAGCCGGTGCTTGTGAGCACCGGAAACCGGAAGATTGGATATCCTCCGCTGGAGATGTATAGTGTTCCTGTGCGTCACAACACATACCACGGCCATCCTTCTCGCCGCCACGTTTCGGCAGAAGACTCGAAGGAGGTGGTCGCAGGCAAGATCACTAAACGTCTCGCTGCTGTACGTTCACGTCCGATTCGAAAATATGCCACTCATCCTTGGTCCAGATGGGCATCACTATGAAGGCTCATCCGACCCTTCAGACGAAGATCAGGGATCTGATTCCTCCGCACAAACTTTCTGAGGATGAGGAGAATAATATCGTCTCTACTCTCGTCGAGGAGCTTTTGTATATCACCCCCAAGCCTGTTCCGTCTGGCTCCGGTGTGAACAACGATGCCTGAGTGCATTCCGTATTGTACTTTGCTTCATGATCATGTGTATGTAGTATGTAAGTCGTGGAATCTGAAGTTGTATATCTTTGTTGATTGGCTCGTGCAACGATCTTCGGAAGGGCGGAGTAGGTCAAGTTACTAGGTCATCTGCAACGATCCCATTGACAAAGAAAGAGTGATCGAAGGGGGCAGCTTCCTAAATCAGCGGCCGCGAGCCTCGTGGCTATCATTTCATACATCTGGGGTGAAGTGCACTTTACCACGGCTGCTGGACACAAAGCAAACGTGAATTCTGGGGATGGTCGGTGTCATTCGATCATGCAACGCGTGCGTAGCCGCAACATTGCAATCTAGAAGAGACGCGACAGATCGGTCCCATTCGACGCGATGGAGAGCAATCAGAGAGGGCAAACGCGTCTTGAGTGCATGAGTGGCAAATGATCGATCGTCGGCGGGTGGCTCGAGGCGCTGTTCAAAGACGTCGGCCATTTCCAAATGCGGCAGAAACGCCCGTCAAGAGCTTGCTTTGTCTCTCGGAAAGATCCTTGGCTAGGCAAGCCATCTGCTCGACTCAAAGGCAAACGCTACGCCTGAAAAGGATGACAGTCGCGGATCTATCGCCCCTTCCCTTTGTCCCCTCCCCCGCTTGTTCTCGGGTGCTCGCTGGCTTGAGGACTGCCCGCCCGCGATACCTCCTTCATAGTCCTCTTGAGCGCGTTCATTCCCTCTCTGACTGCTTCTACGCCATCAAAGGAGACGTCAGGACAATCAGCAGAAGCCCTTCATCCGTGGGGGATTTACGTGTCTTTGTGTGTGTTGCACCTGTCGTTCGCTTTACACCCGCTCCCTTTGCCCCGAGGGCCGTCCGGACTCGTCGTCCCCCGCTGTGGAGACCACGCTTTGGGGTGGAGAAGGGCGTTGCAGGGTCGAAATTCTATTTGTGGGTGACTGTGGGTGCACGTGGACCCTGGGAATTTGTCGACGGGGAAAGCGCAAGCCTTGCACATTGTCGATTTGGATCAAGGCCTCGCGCCTGGCATTGTTTTAATTTGGACCTCGGTTGGGTCCGCGCTTTGGACTACATATTGGAGACTATATAGTCGCGCGCACGCCGCCACGATTCCTCATCTACTCTATTTTCGCTATCCATACAGACCCACGCTACCAATACGCATAAGTGCGCGTTCTGCCACTAACTTTTATACTTCCAGTGCTGATTCGTATGCAACTAGATGCCTATGGATATGCTTCTAGCTTTCCTCCCCCGGGCAGATCAAGCCTTTCTCGCCTATCTCTCCACCTGTCGACCCGTCCCCAACGCGCAAAACCCGAACCCATCCATCCCGAATCCGAAGGGCCTCGCCGACCACTTGGAACGCATCCTTGCAGATTGGGAACCCCGTGTGCTGAGCGAGGAGGAGAGGGTTGTGATGAACAGGGAGGGAGTGCGATACTTGGACATTGTGCGTCAGATCGAGCAGCATCAGAGGAGCTTGGAGGAGGGCAAACATTTAAAGATCGAGACCCGAGCGCAGATGCTTTTCGCGCGCCAGAACTACTGGCTTCGATATTTCCGTACGTTTCGCGTCAACGACCTCCCCACCGAGATCATGTCCAACATCATCCGTTTCGTCATCTGGGACTCGATGAAACGTCCTGTCAACGCGCGTCTCTGGATTACCTCGACCTGCCGCCGGTGGCGCGACATCGCACTCCACGACTCGACGCTCTGGAACGCCATTTGGTTCCGCGGGATCACGGACACCGAACGTCCGTTCGAATGGTTCGAGCGCTCCCGCCAGGCTTCCCTCGACATCCGCATCGACTGCAGCTCGCCCAAGGACCCGGGGCTTCCAGACGATGAGCCTCTCACTCTCGACGAGGTGCCGACGGAGACTGCAGACCAGATGCGTGTCGTCCTCACAAGGCTGTTCACCAAACTATCCCAGATTCGGATGTTGATTGTCGTTGTTAACGACTGGCGGAGTGCTTTGGTGGTTCTCGAGCTGTTGCACGCCCAGGGTCCCAGTGGTGTTCCCCTGTTGCAACGGTTCGAACTCCACCGCAGCGGTCACCAGAACGAGAACCGGCTGTCTCTCGTCTGGCCCAATGTCGCCGCTCTTCCTTTCCTCGGTGGCATCCAACCCCCTTCCCTCACCTATGTGTCCTTGAATGGGATGCCTGTCGTCTGGGAACAATCCGTCTTCAAAAACTTGACCACTCTGGACATTCGCCGGCTTCCAGTCACGTTCTCACCCACCCTTGCAAAATTTCGCGGGATCCTCCAGAGCTGCCCGCTGCTCCAGAAGCTCTCGTTGGACGGGGCTGGCCCTCAGTATGAGGAAACGGGTTTCATCGTTCCAGTCCACCTGCCCCATCTCCGAACCCTTGTGATCGCCGACTTCACTCGGGCCTACGTGCAGTTCCTTGTTGCCCAAATCAGCGCCCCCAACGTCAACGATCTGACGCTGATGAACCTGTGCGGGGATGACTACCTGCCGTTCTTCATGCAGATCACATCGGCCTTCCCCAAAGTCCGGGTCCTGACCACGTATTCCATCCAGTTCGACCCGACTGGCGGATTCGGCATGATGCGCTGGCTCGACTCGATGCCTTTGCTCGCCTATCTGCGTGTCGCGAACGTCGCGAACCAGTTCTTCGGTCTCTTCTTCCAGTCCTACACCGACAAGTACCAAGTTGTCGCACCCAACCTAGTCACACTGGACTGCCAATCCATCGACACGGCGGTGCTGATCCACTTCGTCAAGGACCGCCTAAAGCTCAATTCTCCGCTGAAGAAGATATACGTTTCGGAGGATCTCGGCTCTCGGCTGACCGTCGAGCAGGTCAAGGAGTTGACCAGCATCTGCGTGTTGGCCAAGTTGCCCCGCGGCGCTACGACACCTGAAGAGGAGCGGCTGTCTCATGATCTGATCAAGGCTGAACGGACTGGGACCGCCCCTGAGGTGGAATCGGATGTCGTGGGCTGAATGTGGTCTCTGAGACCAGCCTGCTCACCTTGCATGTGACTTAACCTACCTTACTTACCTTCCATTCACTCACTCATCCTGCGCCACCGCTTATCATACCTTCGACACGCTCACTAAAATATGTAGCAATAGCATGTAGACATACCTGGTTCAATATATATGCATATCTATCCGGAAATGCACCTATTCAAGTGGCATTTTACCACTCCCCTGGATCACGTGCATGGCCGCCTCATACCCATTTTCTATCCGACGAAGATATGTAGGTACGAATCACTAGTACACTGATGTCCTATCAACCCATAGACTTTTTGCGCTTCCTTCCATTGACGACTGGAGTAGATGACGGTGCAGGAGAAGAGGGAGCAGGTGCTGCTCCGTTGATCGACTGTGCTTTAGCTTTCGGTGTCGACGCAGCTGGACGAACGGGTTTCGTATGGCCATTGACCGTTCCGTTGACGGCGGCGGGAACTCGAGGAGCTTGAGCTGTAACAGAGATGAGCGCAGATGATCCACAGTCCATTGATAGACACGCCTTTCAATGTGTGTCTCTTGAAGAGGTCCACCATGACGCTCATCTCCTCGTCATCGACCTCCCGTGGGGAGCCAACCGTAACTACCTCTGGCCCTTCCATCTCGACATCCTCTGTGGTGACCTCAACTGGCGCTGCGGCCTCCACCTGGTCCGTCCGCGGCTTCAAGAAACCATCCATCAGCGAGTCGAAAACGTCCTCGAGAGGGGGTAACATATATGCAACATTGACGAACACCTTACGTCCCTCTTTCCCGGTCCACGGTTGAGCTGTCGACATGGATGCCGAGGGTTTCGAAGGCACGGTCTGGCTGAAGGACGTGCCGAAGACATCTTCAAATATGCTCCTCCGCTCGGGCCCACGCTCCACTGCCATCTCCTTCGACAGAGTGCTCTCTTCCGTGGCACTACGGACATTCTCCCCGATGAGAATCAGCCTCCAGTCCTCAGTGATTGCGACCAGCGAGAACGACGACGCGAAGGGATACCAGACGACATTTCGCAGGATGAAAGGGAGATTCAAGGTGCGTGTCGGCTGGGCAGACGCGGCGTGGAACAACAGAACTTGGGACTGATTTCGTTCGACAACGGCGAAACTGTCATCCCGTGGATGTGGAACCAACGCCATGATCACGTTCGAACTCTTTCTGTGCCATCGAACTGGGTGGATTCAGAACAGAACGCTATAAATCCAGGCAACAAGTCATTCACCTCGCTGCTCAACCAAATCCCACAACACAACGTCGGAGGGTCCAACGATGGCCAAGTATCGGCCGGTGGACCCTAGGAAATAGGCAGCTTCCAGCGTTCCGCACTCTGGCAATGATATGGATAGCATCAACAGATTGGTCGCGGCATTGAAAAGGGCGACACGGCTGGGGTGGGTGACTGCAAAAAGGGATGCGTCTGGAGACCAGGACACATGCGAAGGAGATTCGTCTTGGACGGATACACTGGACCGCGCGATCCAGAATTCTATCCAGGCATCCCAGTCAGCCGATGTAGCACGTGATATTGACAACCTACCTTCGGCAGGTCCCGCTTTGCTCTGCACCGTCTGCACTCGCCAGGTTTTAACATTGTTGTCTTCGCCAGTGGAGACCAACAAGATGGACTGAGCCTCGCTCGCCGAGGAGAACGCGACCCCAGAGACTCTTCCTAGTCCATGCGGTCGATCAACACGCGTGTTTAGTATCCAGTGTCCGGTTGCCTTATCCCATCGCCATAGTTTGAGATACGACTCCCCGTGAATGTCTTGGTCTCCTTCCCGCGCGTCAACAGTGGCGAGCCATTCACCAGAGGGAGATAACACCACTCGGTCAACACGTGCAGGTTCTATGGGCTTGTCGTCGCGTCGGGATACTCGATTAGAAGGGGAGACTTCCAGTTCGGACAGAACAGTCTTCGTCTCCGGAGAGTAGAACTGAAGAGATGATGGATGTGAGGAGGGAAGGATGATGGAGGATGTGGCCTTATGGATAGCGAGGGGAGTCTGTCGAGAAGACGAGGCAAGACCGTAGACCGTCGAGGGATCTGAGGAGGCATGAGCGATAACCGACATTCATCAGATATGTCCGCACCGAGTTTCAGACGAGAGTAAGAACGGTTGATTTTGAGGGAGGAGGCACCAACAAAGGAATAGGTGGCGTCAGCGAGACCGAGCAGATACTCTTCTTCGCCATTCGCGTTATGAGAGACGCTGATCGTTTTGATGGGAGATCCGACGCGTGGCAGAAAGTCCCGTTTGCCACTGTGCAGTTGCCAGATAACAAGGACGGCTTCCTCTCCACCGCTCAACAGGTATGCGCCGTTCGGTGTGAATGCGAGGGATGACACAGCATGTGCGTGCCAATGAAATGACGACGTTTGTGCCTTCTTCTCGACCCCAGTGGCTTCACTGTGATGATTGAGATAATACCACAACCGGATGTTGCCCTTCTCGTCGCCAGTAGCGAAGTAATCCTCCGTGGGGTGGAAGGCCAAGCACGTTAGACGTTCCGGCGATACGTATTTAGTGAATCCAGCCTGGACGGACCCCATGGACGCGACATACGACTTATGCCCAGCAGTCGCGACCAGCCAATCTCCCCGGGGAGAGAATGCCAATCCGGTTGGATGGCGGATTTTCCCGATCGGCGTGATTTCCGAAGACTTTTGAGACGTCGATTGCGAAGCGGCGTCGGTGGGTTTGAGGGAGACGCGTAGCACGACGCCGTTGTCGTCTGTCTCTGTAAGACGCTACAGGCTGAAGGAACTGAATGGACACACACCTGATCCGCTTTTTTTACTCGGCCTGGAGGCTGTGACAAACACACTATCCTTCTGGGTCTCGTGCACGCAGATATGGTGGATAGGTTGAGTGATGTCTATGGCCTGAAGAAGTTTGGCGTCCAGAATATCCCATACAGCCAAGATGCCCGCCGAAGACCCCGTAATGAGTTGGAATGCGTTGTGAGGATTCAATACAGCGCAAGTCATAGCATCGGAAGATGTATCGTGACCGGCCGGCCTTGGGATGCTCAAAGTCGAAACGATCTTTCCCGTTACTGACGCATAGATGTGGACGGACGATCCCACCAACGAAAAGAAATAACTTGTGCAGATCATTAGATTCAATCTAGCTCGCACACCCGTGTACGCACTTGCCGTCCTTGGTGAACACGGGAGGCACGTTGCATGCCGAGGAATCGGTTAGGGTGGCCCAGTCCAATGCTGGCCCGGAAGGCGGGGCCGAGGGCGGGATTTGTGTCCGCCGTTTCGGAGCCGAAGGCTGTTCCTTTGCTTTTCCCTTCCCCTTCTTCATCGTGGCGACCTTCTGCTGCTTCGACGCGGTGCCGGGCGTTTGTGGCATGGGCACATCGTGTGGCTGGCGCGAACGCGACGCGGTCGCGGCCATGCCTTGGTGGAGAAAAAATTGAAGGTGATGATGGACGTGATGGTGTCCGGCAAACAGTACCAAACTCGGGCGATTATTCCGTGCCAACAGGTTTTACTCGTTTACATTTTACAACCTACTAATACACGAAACGAGCGACACAAGGTGGGCGGATCATCATCAAAGTCCGAGTATGCCCGTGCTTCCAACATCGCAGCCCTCATTCTCTCCTCTTCGATCAATTCTGCCTTGGATAGGGGCTCCCTTGGTGGAAGTTGCCATCCGATCCCAGTCAGGGAGCACCATAAGGCAATCCTGGTCTGCATGTCACTATATCTCAGGATCAGTTGAGTGACTGGGCTTCTACGGATGAAATGCTCACTGCCGATAGCGGGTGACGAGAAGCTCAAACTTCTTGCGACTCTGCAGCTCTTCCAGCTCCTCGTCGTCATCCCAGCCGAACGGCTTCAGCTCATCCTTCCGGTTCCAGATCCGATCTTTGAGCTCCTCCCACATCTCTTCCTGGCAAGCGAGAACAATCTGATGCGATCTATACAGGTGCATAGCAAGTGAGCGTTCGTTGAGAAGATCGAGCTGAACCCGAATTGGATTGCGATCTGGTGACTTTGGAGCATGCCGGGGACCCACATCCATGGTGTAGGTCTTCGGTGACGAGGGCTGCTTGGGTAGTTCCGCTTGGCTGGGATGAAGGGAATCCGAGTTTGGACTGCCGTAATCTGACGTGGAGACGGACGACTTTCTTCTCGGACGCGTGAACACAGAACCCGCAATAGAAGACTCGCCTGTCGAAACCGATGAGAAGGACACCGATGGCGACCGAGCCATGTTCGGGAAGATAGTGGATGTTCGCGAGTCCAGAGTGTCCGAATTTGGATCAACCACATAGGATGTGATGATCTGAGGCGGCAAAGGCTGTAAGGGTGGCAAGGGTGGCATGTAAAAGCTGACGACCGGGCTTTGCTTGACATGTCGGAAATATGTCGTAAAGTAACTGGGGAGAATCGCTGCAATCCCATTCAAGCGTGGATTCTCCGATGAAACAAAGTTGCGAACCTGTTGGCTTCAGATTGATGAAGCGACTTTCAAAAACAGCTCGGAATAAGGATTCGAGCAAAGCATGATCGTGAGTATGGTTGGCTTGGGTATCAGAGGGAGGGAATAGTCCACGTTGAGTACCGCTCGGCAAGTGTACGGATGTCGACCGTCGAGGTCGTGCTCGCAGAGGAGAGGTGAACCATTTTGGAAGACGGGGAAATATGATGTCTACCTCACGTTGAAACTAAAGCCGGAATGAAACAGTGACAAAACACACCTTCTTCTACTAGTTCAATGACTCCTCCTGGCCGCAATACGCGATTGATTTCCTACGGGCGGCTTGAGCCGGAGTGCCAGGTGCTCAACGTCAAGGATACCTCAAGTAAGTTTCCCCACTGCATAAGTGGTCAACACAAGCTAAACAAGAACAGTCCAATGTACCTTGCTCTCAGGAACTCCCAAGGCAATCCCATGGACATGGATGAGGTCGAATTCATCTTCTTCAAATGGAAGCTTATTCGTAAGACTGATTGGCGAAAAAGGCTCGTGAGCAGTGCGTTTCTGCGGACACCGGTGGACGTGGACGCACAAATTGCCATGAACCCATGTGATTCGCTCGGCGATGGATTCGTATTCGGACGACAAAAGCTGGAGAGGTATCTGGACGTCCACAAGGTCGAAACCGACGAACTCGCACTCTGGCCACTCCTTGGCCGCATCAATGATCCATGAGCCTGTCTGAGACGATTCAGATACGAGGCAACATGTCGTAGAACGGACTCACACCACACCCCAAATCAAGAGAGCGTTCCGGATGCTGTGCTCCTCCGTCCGAGGTATCCCAGATGCTCGCGTCTGAGAAGTCGACGAAGGTGCAAGATCCGTTGTTCAAATGGTCGAACAGCCGCAGATCAATAGGCTCCCTTGAAGCACTAGGTTAGATGATAGTTCATGAAGGGATGGCGACGGCCCACAGCTCCAGTGTGTCCGGCGAATAGGCGAGCGGATATGGCGCCTTCTCTCGGTCGTAAGAGTGATGTCGTAGACCATTCCGGATTTCAAACTGTCCCCTCCTACCATGACGCTTGGCCGAAGGGGTTCCATTCAGTGGAGAAGAGCTAGAAGTAGTCGTTGTCGTAGGGGAGGACATGAAGTATTGTGGGCCAAGCTTGGTCAGATGCTTTCTGAGCGCTCACTTAGAAACCCGGAGTCCACCGAGTCTGGGAAGGACTTTCAAAGGGTCCACAGAACGGAGCACTGAGCTTGCCGTGGGACGGATGAAGGTAATAGCAAAGCGCCGGGCCTGCAATCAAGATAGGAAGTCCATCGCGTTGACTTCACCGATGCCATGATTGCATCATTCCATTGTACCTTGCTCCTTACCTTGTTCTACTTGCTGTACCGTCTTTGTCCATAACCTCAGCTATCCCTCCCACGCGAAGTACCACGTCTTTTCAACGCTATGCCTCGGCGGAGGCCAACCTCGCAAACTGCGAAGAAGGCGTCCATAAAGCTTAAGCGTGCAGTCAAACGAGGAGATCTTCCCGCACCGGACAAACAGCCATCCGTCAATCGTACCCAACGCCGCGCCACTGTCACACCTGCATCGGATGCCATTCAGTCTTCAAGAAAGCTGCAATCGGCATTCGTTAAGCTCCCCGATCACTTCCTCGAGCAGACCAAGACGCTCGCAGCCCAGCTTCCGTTGACCCGCCCGATCCTTGTCGAATCCTGCGTCTTATCAGTCCCCCCATCATCTGTTGGCCCGGATACATTGAGTTGTCCTCGGCGGCCGAAATGGCGATTTGATATGTCCAAGAAAGAAGTCGAGCGCAATGAGGAAGGGCTTTTTCGCAAGGTACAATTGAACATCTGTACGGGGAGTGATATCCGACGATCGAATTTTCTTCACAGTGGCTGGCGCAGACGGACGATCTTGTGCAGCGATGGCAAGATTCGCAGATCAAAGAACAACCTGTGGTCGAGTATGTCTGGAATGATCTTGTCAGCCGCTCACACGTTCAACGTTGATCAGTACAGAGATTCCAGAGATCACCGAAGAACCTACTGAAATGCCCCCATCCACAACGTACTTTGAGAGGAATTTAGAGGTCTGGCGGCAATTGTACGTCATTGTTCAATATCACTACTCCGTTTTAATGTATGAGGGAAGATGGAGAGTGACCGAGATTTCTCAAATCATACTCGTTCTCATCGACTCGAGAGCTCCTTTGCTCCACTACCCTCCGTCCTTAGACACCTACCTCTCGAATCGCCGAGTCATCCTGGTCTTGACCAAGGTCGATATATCGGGATCTGAACGAGTGAACGGGTGGATCCGATACTTCAACGAACAGTATCCTCGACTGCGTGTGGTACAGGTCCGATCTTATGCTGAGAAGGAGATCTCTGCCAGGCATCAAGGACGCAGACAACATGAACCACACATCCCGCAGAGCTTCCGCGCTCAGCTCGTCGATGCCATCAGACAGGAGCACAGCGCAATGCTGGATCCCCCAGAGACGGTTAAGGCAAAGCCAGAGCGTCTCGAGGCATGGAAACCTTCTGTGAAGCGAGAAATCGACTGGGACCGCGTCTTGTCTGCCGAAGGCGACCAGGTCGGCACTCAAGTTGGAGGCGCGGCTGCCCCTCGCGGTGATACCGACGAAGAGGAGCCCCATTTCCTTACTATTGGCCTCATCGGTGTGTCGCGGTAGTTAACTAGTCGTCTCTTGCATCCTGATAGATCATAGGTCAGCCTAACGTTGGAAAAGTGCGAGATTGGCCTCCATACTCGTTCACGGCATTGAATATTGATCGCATATCCAGTCTTCGTTGTTGAACGCCCTCTTCGGTGCCCATAAAGTACGAGCGTCGAAAACGCCTGGGAAGGTGAGTGGGAACTTTATGTTTAATGCTCGTCTTATGTCGATAGACGAAACACTTTCAAACGCTCTTCTGGACTCCCGACGTAAGACTCGTTGACTGTCCGGGACTCGTTATGCCGAATTTTGTAAGAATGGAGACACAAGTACGTCGAAGCACTTTCTGCATCTCCTCCGAGTCTTACCATCGTCAAGGTCTTTTCCGGAATTCTGCCCATTTCTCGAGTATCAGCTGTCCCTGCCTGCATCTTCCATGCGGCGGAATTGATTCCCCTGGAGCAAGCGTACAAACTTTCACCGCCTGAACAGCCGTCGGTGGTTGACAACCGGACCTGGAGAGATGGGGAACGACCCAATTCGGGTCAGATCAAAGAAAAGCAGTGGACAGCCATGGACATTCTGACGTCCTACGCCAATCTCAAAGGATGGGTCACTGCCAAGGGTGAGTCGGCGACATTCTCTATCATACTACATCCGATTATGTCTCTAGGCGGACGGCCGGATGTGCATCGAGCCGGAAATGCCAGTACGTCGCTGTCCTGTACGGGTTCCATCTAGATAGATACTCAATGCCTCCGAAAGTTCTGCGTGCGCTAGCCGAGGGAGAGTGCCTTGGGCATTCTGGCCTCCTGGTGCCAGCCATCCTCAGAACGACGGAGGATCGGGCATTTGGATCCCCTCTGGATCTGAAGAGGAAGACAGTGAAGACGACGAAGAGAGTCAAGAGGAAGAAAGCGAGCGAGAAAGCGACGCTGGAACTGGGTCAGAAGGTGGGATCCAGACTGAGCCAGAGGAGAGTACCGAGGAACAGTCGGATGAAGACCAACCCCTTTCAAAACCCGGCGGTGGTCGATTTGGTGCACTGCAGATCACGGAAGAGGGAGAAGAGGAGTCTGGAGAAGAGGACTGATCACACCCACATACTTACCGATCGATAGCGTTAATCTCGGGCTGACAAATACTGATGAGTATGATGCGAACGCTTGCTTTCTCATTTCTGTCTTCCATGCTTCGCATCCTGCTGCCAAGCACCATGTCACTGGACTGGACCACGGGAACAGATTCGCGCGTCGCGCCTCCAACATAAAAGCTCCAAGTTTCTGCGATGGAGAATTGCAATTCTCCGACAGACAACTGACCTCGACGATGCACGCCTTACAACTCATCGCGTTCGCTACTTTGGCTTCCGCTGTGACCATCCACCTCGCCGGTGACTCTACGATGGCACTGGGAGGTGGTGGAGGCAGCACTCAAGGCTCGTTGCTTTCTACGGGTGGTCGCAGCATCGTCGATAGCTAACCGGAGATCAGGCTGGGGCGTGGAATTTCCTCAATACGTGACCTTGCCGGTCGTCAATCATGCTGTAGCTGGCACGAGTGCTCGGTCATACACTGACAAGGGCCTTTTCACGACGCTCATCTCACAAGTGAAGTCAGGAGACTACGTGGTCAGTTTTCCCGTGGTCAGAGGACGCCAGTGCGATTCAAACCTGTTTTCGTTTAGATCATAGAAGTGGGTATCGTTCAGTTATGATTTTCTTGGTCTGATCCTGACTGGTGCAATCACCGCAGTTTGGTCACAACGACGCCACTGCGCATCCCGACAATGGGAATCAAGATGCTGTTGGAGACGGATACAATATCACGGGGACGGTAACTACAGCGAAGTGAGTCACGTTGCGCTTTTGCATCCGTCTAACGGCTCATCATGTCTTTAGTGGAACCACACTTGTGGTCGTGAGTCTGCTTCTGGCGCTCGAGATCACGGTGAACAGTTGTTTATAGCACTCTTTTGCTTACTACATTGAAAATGCGGTATGGGCTGGTGTTTCCATTGACCAGACAGACTACTAACAAGCGCAGATCAACGCGATCAAGGCAAAGGGAGCTACGCCAATCACTTGTGCGATTTCAGGTTGGAGGCAGCTACAGCAACTGACATGTAGCCAGCCACGCAGACTCCGGACAATATTTGGACTGGGTCCAGCATTGGTGCCGGAGGGCGTTTCGTGCAGTACTGCACCACCATCGCCAAAGACACGAGCATTGTCGAAGTGGACCACTACGCCTATGTAGCCCAAGCGTATAACAAGTTGGGACAGACGCAAGTCACCACATTCTACCCGATGGATCACCTGCACACCAGTGCTGCTGGAGCGACCGTGGTAGCCCAGGCGTTTGTTCGGGGTCTGTTGTGCGGGAACAGTACTCTGAAAGGATTCGTGAATGCTGCCGGCAAGGCAGTTCCAAGTACGTGTCCATGCTTCACTGGAGGATCGTCGGATATTTATTTCCGACAGACGGCTGTATATAAAAAGATGGATAGCTTAAGACTTGGGAGGTAGATCACAGGCGCGGTCATGTGCTTCTGTTTCCGCCGCGGCCCGCATCAACATGCTTCTTGCAGTCATCCCTTGTTGTCTGACGGACCGGCAAAACTCCCGTGTTTGATCACTGTGCGCGTCGAGAAGTAAGCGCAGCTGGAGTAGAAGCAACAGCGACAATATAAGTAAGGAGATCACATCGAAAGTCAGCTCTACCACCATGTTTTCCCAAATCTTCACCGCTCTGGCCGTTTCTGTCGCGGTCCACGCGCAGACTTTATATTTGGCGGGTGATTCGACTATGGCTCCAGGAGGTGGGGGTGGTGTAACCGATGGCTGGGGTCAATACGCCGGCCAATTCTTCTCCATTCCGGTTGTCAACAGTGCTATTGCCGGCCGCAGCGCTCGCAGTTACACAGCCGAGGGCCGTTTCAGTACCTTGCTGGGTAAGGTCAAATCCGGCGACTTTGTTGTCATCGAGTTCGGACACAACGACGGCTTGTCTGGTGCTACCGACAACGGGCGAGAAGATGCGTTTGGAGACTCTCTGACCGCCACTGCTGTAGTCAACGAATCCGAGTAAGCATGTCTCCTGACATGCTCTCACTGCCACATCTCTGATACCCGAGCGCACAGTGGCAGCACACAAGTGATGTGAGTGCTTATCTTGTCTGTCGAGGTGATTTCTGAATGCCCCAGTCACACTTTCAACTTCTACATGCAGAATGCAACGAAGGCATTCCAAGCGAAGGGCGTCACGGTGATCATCAGTTCCCAGACTCCTGGTATGCATGTCTAACACATGCCTGTATTCGCTACAATCTGACCTCTTCTAAGATGACATCTGGAACTCTGCCAACACCGCGATCGCGACTCCAGGTCAGTGGCTCAATTTCATACCTTACTGCTCGAGCTCATAGAGTCTCCAGGCCCCAGGTTCGCTTGCCATGCACCATGATGACGGAAGCGCCGTGAAACTTTGTTCAGATTCGTTCAATACGCTGTGGAGGTAGCCGGAAACACCTCCACCACTTTCGTCGATCATTTCAGCTATGTCGCCCAAGCTTACAACAAGATTGGTGAATCCGTGAGTGGAATGTTGGCATTTGGAGTGACCTCTGCTGAACATAACAAGACTGTGGTCACATACTACCCCATGGATCACACTCACACCACCCCGACGGGAGCAACCGTCGTTGCCGAGGCCTTTGTGCGAGGCTTGCTCTGTGGGAAAAGCACCCTCAAGAAATTCTTGAACTCTGCAGGAAATTCCGTACCCAGTGAGTGAATGCCGTCATAATGTAAACCATCTCTCATCCCGTCTTTACAGACGGATGTCTTTGAAGGCGAGCGGCCCCGGAAAATATCTGGATCTTATCTAGTTATCGATAGTAACTGTTATCTAGCCGAAGGTGATGGCGGGATGCATCGCCACACGTCAATCAAAGCTCTGCTCCCTTGACTTGTGGCTCCTTGTAGTAATGTTATCCAGCTCCGGTAAAGGAGATTCCAAGCAGGATCAGATGCAGGAACTTCCAGAATTGTCCCACCATGAACACATCCTTGCCAAGATATTCGACACCCAGAACGCCCCAGATGGTGTGCTGCTCTACTGCTTCTGGGGACTGCACTGCTCAACTGGTCCGCAGCGGGCGTTCTGCGTATATCCACCGCAGAAACTGCTCACGACTCCGTGTTTGATCCTTTCGACGGCACGCTACTCGGGTCCATCATACCGCGGGATGACGGCATCCAACCTGAGGAGCCCGCTAAGCTGAATGACATGCACATGAAGAACGAAGAGCTGTGGTCCCACCTGTCCCGCGTCTTGGAACTGCAGAACCGAATCTCCCGCATGCATCTGGAGATGGAGGACATCGGCGCGCATGCCAACGACCCCAAGAGCAAGGGGAAGACGAGGTCGCGGGCGGCTAGTATCATTCGCGTCGTCGTGGATGAAGGCGAAGGAGACGATGGCATCGGCGGCAGAAGGGATGAGGAAGCTGAAATGAAGAAGGCGCGGGAGGACCAGTTTGCAAAGTTGGCGACTCAGTTCCGAGGCAAGAAACAAGCCATTGAGGACATTATGGACAAGGTCCGTTGTGTATAATCCTGCAGTCACTTGGACGCTGACAAGATGTCTGTTGTAGCTCGACTCACTCTCCCAGTCGGTCACGGAATTCCATGCCCTCCAGGCTCCCAAGATCGAGTTCCCGTCTTCCCGCCAACAGTCGTACCAAACTTATTCGACCGCTGGCCAAGCTTCAGCGGGATTGCGCAGCCCAGACACTGCAGCGCCTTCCTCTGATTTACGTCCGCCAGTATTCCCGAGGCATGCTGAAGACCCGCCTCACTATGTTGAAAGTCCTTTATCCGCGACTGCAGCTCTTCCACCTTGAATATGCTGGTCCCCGTAATCATATACTTCTAGCTGTATTCACGTTACGTTGCATAAGTTTACCATCAATCTAAACTTTGCCCGCGACTGCGATGTCAAGAGACCTTCGAAGGAAGCCTAGCAACGCGAGACGCTCTTTAGACACATCCAGTCTCAACAGCGCGTCGACTGTGGCCACCCGCCGGCGTTCTCCAGCTGTCTCAGGCCCGTGGCCCATGTCCACCACCTCCTCTGGGTCCACAGCCGTCAATTCCACGCGTGTCTCATCGCAAGCAAGGGCCCAGCGACTTGAGCCGCCTCTTCGAAGGCATGGCACGCTTCTCAGCTCAGGTGCCACGCCGACACGGCGGGCGGCTGAGTTGAAGTCTCTGCTAGGAAACGCAAACTGCCGTCTACGGCCGGGCGCGTCTGTCCCTTCGCACCCGCGCGCGTCACAGCAACCGACACTCCTGGAACAAGCCAAAGTTCGAGCGAGAGGTATGATCTTGTGTCCTGCGGCCGCTGTGTCCTCTCACGTCTGAGTAGTGGAAGTCGATCTGCTCTTGAACAGCAGCGTTTTCGTCGAGGGCGGCGATATCACTGGCGTCATCAAGCTCCGGGTCAGACCTCGCCTTGCAAAGGAACCGCTTGTTCTCATCGGGGACGGGAAGCTACGGGTGCTCGGGTTCGAGACGGGCGAAGGGGACGACCATCATGAGTTTTATCAGCATTCGGTCGCGCTTTGCTCGGCTGCCCCCTCGATGGCCAGGGTCTATACGACACAGGCGGACTCGGAGGGGTTCCGCTCGGCGCAAGAAGGGGTTCATCGGATTGAGTTTACTATGGGTCTCCCGCTAGCTCAGGCAACGGCACCGAAGGGTCCTTTTCGGGGAAACTCTGGTGCGTCGGTTCGATACATTGTTCTGATGTAAGTGCCCGCTGCGGATGCTTCTCGCGTTGACCCTCCCCTGGTCAGATCGCTCAAGGTGAAAGATGAACAGGGACGGAGGAGCATCGCCCATTTCTATCGAGACTGCGAAGTCTGGCCTCGGCTCAATCCCTCAGTCGTCCTTGCGCCCAACCAGGAAGTAGTTCAAGATTCTACGTCAAAGAATGTCTTCATGGGCGGGACTGGTGAAGTGCACCTGACAGCAAGTCTCCACCGCTCGACCTTTGTCGCTGGCACTCAAGTTCCCGTCAATATATTGGTTGCGAACCGAACGAAGAAGCTTATCAAGAGTCTGACCCTGACCTTGTATCAAAGTACGACCGTCTTCAAGAGTCAGCTTCCCATCAATCAAGGAATCGTCCATCGCAAGCCTATGTCTACATCTACTTTGCAAATGACGCAAGGTTTCCCTCGGGCACACGCAAGTTCTGGTGGCTGGTGGTCTGGAATTCCGTCTGGAGAGCGATCACGTCTCAATCACTTTCTCTCTATTCCGGTACGGGTTCGCATCCGTTTCCCGCCGATCGGGTGAAACTAAAGCTCACATAGCCGAATGCTGTTTCGCATACACGGGAGCGACTGGTGCAAGTTAGCCATTCTGTGCGTGTTACACTCAACTGCGGGACATTGGGTTCGGATGTGTCTGTGAACATTCCCATTCGCATCATCAACATGATCTCTCTTGATCCCCCACCGTCAAGCTTCGCCAGTCTTCGCTCTACTTCCTCTGTCTCGGATGCTCAAGCCGCGTATGAAGACGATTCGGATGCTGTCATGCACGAGATGACCGGAGATCTGACGATGTGTGATGATGCCGAGGACTTTGTGCACCACGCTATAGTCGCAGCTCAGTTGGACACTGTTTATCCGGAATCGAACTGTGACCTCGATTCGCTAGCAGAGAGTTCCATGGAGAACGAATACCCGGAAGAGGCGGAAAACCTGGACCCGAACTATTCTCACTCGCTGCGTCATCGGGGCCCGTCGGCGTTTGCGACCCGCGTTCAAGAGAAGCTGCGAGATCGACAACCTCTGTCTCCGAGAATCTCGTCCACGCAAGTTTCTATCGCCGAGGAAGATTTCTCGGCGTCCATTTCCGTCTCCCAGACGTACTGCTCATCGATTGGTGTCGAAGACTCGGTCATCCCTGGATACCAGGTCGCTACGTCTAGTTTTCTGGACCACCGGTACTATCCGACTGCTGCTGCTGCTTCGACGGCTGTTGTCGGACTTCCGTACACGAAAGAAGAGGATGAAACTCCCAGTGGGCTGGGCATCGCTACTTTCAGGACAACGCTCGCTGCACCGCCGACGGCCGTCACGGTTTCGCCTTCCGTCGCATCCCCACAACGGCCGCCCATTGTCGTGGGATTGTCGTCCGGGTCGGTCAAGGACAGAATCCGAGAGCTGGAAGCACGAGTCCGGCAGGCAGAAGCGGATTACTTGGCATGTACATGATGAGTATGATTGAAGTACCGGATATCAGTAATGTATCGTAAAAATGTGGCCAACAGGATGTATCTATCCGCCCAGAAGCGCAAGTGCTGCACGAAGCTCCCGTCGAGCCTGCTCCGCGTCTTCGTAATCGAGAGAACTGATGGCAAATCGACAATGTTTCTGTGCCTTAGCCACCAACGTCGGCGTCAGCTCCAGTTGTAGTGGAGGAGGAGAGACGATCGTGGGAGGAAGCACGAAAGACGGTGGCGGCGGGATCACAGGGGCGGGCACGTGCGGCAGCGGCAGCGGTGGCGCTGAGGGACGTGGGTACTCCACTGGTGGGATCGGAGGTTGGTGGAGCGACGACGGGCCCCCGAACGAAGCCGGGTCGTCGTACGGCGAATATGTGGCATCTTCCGAAGGGGAGGACATTCCGTCGACGGAAGGCGTGAAGTGGACAGTCTTCTTGTTCCCAGGCGGGGGATCGAGCAGGTCGCCCGAGTACTCGCTCTCCGTCCTTGCGAAGACTTCTGGTGTCGCAACATTCGTGCCAGGGGTGGCGACGGTGCTCCACTGACCGGGCGACACGGCTCCCCCGCGATCGGGGCTGGGATGGAGTCCGGTGGGGTCCACAAACGCAGGATGCGTGTTCTGGGACGAGAAACGGCGGTTCGCGTTGGTGATATCGGCCGATTCGAGTTTGGGTGAAGTGCGTTTGATAGGGGCCGGCTCACTTATTTGTGGCAGGGACGTCTCCTTCAGAGTGTCGATGCTGTCTGGGCTGGATCTACCGGCCGCAGCAGCGGTCGCCTGGAGCTCAGCCAGTTCCGCTTCGATGCCCGAATCGGCGGGACCGGGCGTGGGCTTGCGACCTTCCCGGAATGCTTTTGCGATATCGGCAGCCTTCCATTTCGCATATCGGATTTTTTCTTGGCTCTGTCCTGCCACGTAAGCGATGCAGAAGAGAAGAAGGAGAACACAAGACTTGCAGATTCGGACACTTCGGACTTGGGGAATGTTTTGAGCACTTCCAGGAAGTGGGCCGCCGCCAAAAACTTCTTTGCGGTGGACCTAGAAGGTTATCATCGTATCAGAAATACAAGAAAGATATCGGAGAATGGACCTTGTGACATTGCCCGACCGATCCTCGTTATCCGCAGCCGCGAACACTCGCAGCGCAAAGTTTTCCACGTATGCCGAGCTGGCGGCTTCAACATCGATAGCGTCGGTCGGCCCAATCTCCTGTTTCATTCTCTCAAGCTCTCCCAGGAGGTGGAGCAGAAAGTCGCGCGAAGCGGTATCCTTCGCCTTGAGCGATATGCCAATCTGAGCTGCATAATAGGTGCCTGGAGCCGTGAGTCAGGAATCTGACTAGACCGGTGGAGACATGTAGCATACACCAATACGCGACGATGGGCTCCTTGGTTCGAAGTTCTTCCGCGCGTTGCAGGTATGGGGAGATGGATTTGAGGGCCGGGGGTGCCATGGATGATGTTTTGAGTCAGAGTTGACAATCTTGGCAGTGCACAGCGCAGCGGATTATAAAGGCTGTGGGATTTGCCTCGCGGAACGCGTGCTGCAATCTTTTTGTGGTCCGAACGCGTTCAGTGGTCGTGTGAATGAAGCAGAGGCTGCAGAGCGCGGTTGGCAGTAGCCGATCGCCGCTCAGTGATCGCAAGTTCGAAGCACCCGCGCTGCACTGATGTCATAGCGAAAGTTTCTTGTATTGTTTACACGCGTAGATCTACACATAACGAGGCTTAGAGGGCAGCATACACTACGGTGAAGGGCTATTTTGTCTTTCCGAAGACGAGTCCGTGATCGCAGCAAGCTCCACAGATAACCATGTGAGATGTCCAACAGCAACGAGGACTGTGGTGCCAGTAGATAATAATGCGGGCTATTCCGGACTAGGCCACAGCAATAGGTTCCGACTGGCCACTCAGCTAGGCGTAGGGCCGCCCAGGCTGAAAGCGGCGCAGTTCCACTCCGGCTTCTGCCAGAAGTCTGGCTGACGCATCGTCTCTGCACATTTAAAATGAGTAGGCTTGAGCGTGGACACCGAAGGAACCGTACACTTTGTAGCTCAGATTGTAGACGACGGTCCTCACCCCGGTCTGGATAATCTTGATCGTGCATTTTAGACAAGGGCATCTGGATAAACGGATCTGCCAGCCGCCAATAGGCTTTTTCAGGAAGCATCGTACGTGTTGCAGTACAGCACGGATCCATGTCCGACTCTTTCTCTTCCTGCTTCTAGCTGTGCACTGATCAGATGATAATCTCATCTAAGGCGCTAAGTCGAAACACGAACCAGCGCATTTTCCTCGGCGTGCAGACAAACGCATTCGTTATCTGCATATTCCAGGCCGTTGCATCGGATGCAGCCGCCTTCGTTGCAATTTCTGACTCCTCGGGGTGTGCCATTATACCTGTCCCAATGTCACCCCACACTTGGCATCGAGACACGAGACGGAGACTGACCCCGTGGCGAGGATACGGTTCTCACGAACAAGCACAGCTCCGACCCGTCGTTTCATGCAGTTCGAGCGCTGGGACGCCAAGGATGCCAGCGTCTATGCATGTCGTCGGCAACGGTGTTCCATAGAGACAGTAGTCGCACCATGAAATATTGATCCCATTGTGGTCGAAGATGGCTCGGATCGAGGATATTCAGATCTTCCAGATAGGATTCCAGAGTTTGAACGCTCGGAAAGGTATTTGACACGTGCTTAGTGATCAAGTCCCTCAAACCATGGACGGACGACTCGGACGTGGAGTCCAAGTCCACGCATGTGCCAAAGACAATATTATCGTCATCCCGCACAAAATCCTCCAGAGTCACAGGATGGGAGCTGCAAGGGAACGGCTGTGTATCTGTGTGCAGCTCACTGAAACATCGGCGTAAAGAACTCACTTGGCGCTGTTGAACCGCTGAAATCGATCGAAGAGTGGAGCGTCGACGCAGAGCAGGAAGAAGAACGGCCTCAAGGCAAAAGACTCCAGAATCTCCCTTGTCCGGACATCTGCGATTACGAAATCTGTCCTCCAGTTGCGTGTCACGTAATCGAGTAAAGTTGTCGGCGAGGAAAAACAACGTGGACTCGCGTTGTCTTGGACATCTTGTGACACAGGTCCGAGAGACAGAAAAGACAGATGTTTCGAGGTGAATTGATCGTTATACGTCTCGCTAGTGGTTATCGAAGCTGTGTCCGAGTTCAAATCCTGCTCTTGACGTCAGGGCATCAGGGCTGCACACAGAGTGCTTACAAACTTCGGAGTCGTCAAGAATCCGTACACGCTGGAAGCCTCTCAACACCAAATAGTTCTCGATCGTGCTTTTTCCAGATGAACGTGTGCCAACAATGGCGACGAACATGATCGATTGAGTGAAGACGCGTGGCGTCACCATGTCACAATATCACGTTACGTATGTGACTTTTCGCGCCATGTACATGTCCGGTACTACGGTAGCCTACAATTATAACACTTCTTTCTTTTTCTTGTTCAATTTGGCTTCCTTTGCCTTAGCCTTAGCAGCATCTCTTCCCTCTGATCTGACAAGCTTTGCCATTTTCATGTCCTTGGGAGTAGTTGTTCGAAGCTGCTTGACATGAGTAGGAATGAGCTGTTTGGCTGGTCTTGCAGGAGCAGCTGAGGCAGTCGAGGTCAGCCAAGGTGCGGTGATTATCGGCAGAGACTCTAATATCGATGCGAATTCATCTAAACGAGGTGCATCACACTACGAAATCATGAACGAGCGTCCAGGAAAGATAGAATGTGCCTACATCCAGGGCCACAATGGCAGCTCGTCGCACGTGTAGCGCTTTCGCCAACTCGAACTCTGTTCCCGCTGGAAGTGGAACGACTTTGATGGGCTGCGCAGGGCATGCAGAATTGAACGCCGCCACTTCGTGTGGGATGTGGTCGATCAGAATGGGGGGATCTACGTCCGCCCGGCAGACTAGAATCAATCGTATGGGTTTTAGAGCCTCAGAGGATGGTTCATTGGAGGGTTCAGCCTGGATTACAGTCGTCTGACGTAGGGATCGAATTTGCTCATCCAAACGGCGGGTTACTTCGTTGATGCCGACAACCAAGTGCGATAGGATGAGAAGTTCTGGAGGGAGCACGCTATCTTCTGGAAGGACCACCAGATCGTCGTTCATGGGAATGTCAGAGCGTTCATCAGAGGCAGGTTTCGTAGTCGAGGAATTCTGCTTTTCTGCCCGTTTACGTTTTCGGTTCTGTTTCATCCGTGAAGCCTGATAGTCCGCCACACCATCCAACAAAGACATGATGCAGGCTAGAGCCCTGTTCTGCACATTCATAGGAACTGAGGGCCTAAATGGAAGGTTGGAAGTGCGCGGCGGATGACCTTGAGAGGTGTTGATACCATGGTATGCGAAAGGGGCTGTCTAAAACGCTCTTGAAGACTACTTTCTTTTCCAGCGTCGCTCGGGTTTTGGCGCGATTTGAGCCGTGATGAACTTGAGCAGCCATGTCGTGGTTGAAACTCTAATGCGATCACTGTGACATCGGCGATCGGAGTGCGTCACACTCAAGCTCCGTAAAATTTCAATCCCGAGCCTGCACATCGGTAGATCGGTCATCTCTCCTTGACCATGCCCCAGCTCGACACATAGTCCGGGCCGAATGAGAATCTATCTATTCACTTATAATCTACCAAGGATTGCTTCTAGAAATGACTTTCGAGACAACTGTTCCGCGAATCTTATTCATAGACTCGTATGATTCATTCACATTCAAGTGCGTCTCGACTCTGCAGCAGCAGACATTATGCTCATGTTTCGCGCGAAGTTTGGTCTCACTGTGCAGAGGCTATCCCGACTGTGCTGTGCATATCATCAAGAACGATGCGTTCACCATAGAACAACTACTGCCCTTTCTCCCGCTATTCTCTGCCGTGGTGGTTGGTCCAGGGCCCGGATCTCCGCAAAACGACCAGGACATTGGTGTTATCAAGGATCTTTGGGGACTTGCCGCCAATGTACTGCTCCCGATCTTCGGTGTGTGCCTCGGGCTGCAGAGCCTCGGTGTTGCGTACGGAGCGAGGCTGGAGCGATTGAACGTCGTGAAACACGGGCAGGCTTCCCTTATCCACCATACCGGCCGTGAACTTTTCGAAGGCGTTGGGCTCGTGGAAGCTGTGCGATATCATTCGTTGCATGTTACATTGCTGGATGCTGGCGAGGTCGAGCAGCTTGCATGGGCAGATGATGGCAGCGAGAACGGGCTCGTCGTCATGGCGATGCGCCACACTTCCAAACCATTCTGGGCTGTGCAGTATCACCCGGAGTCAGTCTGCACTCAAGGAGGAGGGAGGGATGTTGTGTCGAATTTCTGGAGCTTGGCACAAACTTGGTCGAACAAACATGGGCGTCGCACTTCCATGGAACTCCTCAGCTTCCTCTACTTTTGGAAATCCGTGGCCTGTTTTCTCTCCCACAGATGTGATCGTGTCACCCTCGGCTCAGTCTCAGATTGTTTCGACTCGTATCCTCGACCTTCCCAATCTCACTGCTCGCCAAGTCTGTGAACTTTTCGGTGTAGCAAACGACGAATCTCCGTTCGTCTTGCTCGATTCGGCAGCTCAACCTGGCCGACATTCCATCATTGGCTCGCTTCTTCCGTCTTCGCCTCAATTGAGCTACTTTGTGGGGACGCCTATGTAACACTCACACAACACGGCCATTGTTCGGAGCAGCCTTTAGAAGATCGGGATATCTGGAGCTGGGTTTCACACTTCGTGATGTCCAGGGAGACTACCGTGGCCACCCCGAGATCCCTTTCTGGGGAGGGCTCGTTGGCCTTCTCAGCTATGAGATCGGGGTCGACACACTGACAGTCCCCCTTCGCCAAAATAGAACAAGGCGACATCCTGATCTGAACCCGTTTTTGTGGAGCGTTCAGTAGTCTTGGGTGCTGGTACCGGACAGGTTTTTGTGCAATCGCTTCTTGCTAATGACGAAGATTGGGTCGCGAACACTGCTGCCGCTTTACTCAAGGCCGATTCAGCAAACTTTGTTCCTCGATCAAAGCTTCCCGAAATACAGCTACTCTTTCGATTCCAAACAAAGCCAGTACATATCTGAATCTCGAGGCACAGGAGAGAATTCATCCGGAGATCCGTACGAACTTTGTTTGACTGCAAGAACGAACGCCAATTTCCAGTAGGCTGGCCGACCTCCTGGGTTTCGCTCATGGAAACGATATCAAGCCTTGCGCTCCAA